TCACAAGAGGTTAAAAAGTGTCAAGAGGTTGTCCTTGACCGTGTGAGTTAAAACCCATCTCCCAAGTGTTATAATGCTCATTAAAAACAGGGGACCTTGATCAGATAGTTGCAGCTGCTGCCTTGCTTTTTTTTTTCTTTTTGACACACAACACATATCCGTAGAATCATTCGATCTTAGCTACTGAGTAGAATACAGAATAACAAAGTTGGAAGGGGCCTTGGAGGTCTTCTAGTCCAACCCCCTGCTCAAGCAGGAGACCCTATATACTAACAGTAGACAACCTTGGCTCTTTTGTGACTCGTGGACTTCAACTCCCAGAATTCCTGAGCCAGCCATGCTGAGGGGAAAGGGAGAGTTTCCAAGCTAAGCCGTGCTGGCTCAGGAATTCTGGGAGTTGAAGTCTACGAGTCATAAAAGAGCCAAGGTTCCCCACCCCTGCCCTATTCCATTTCAGACAAATGGCTGTCCAGTCCCTTCTTAAAAGCCTCCAGTGATGGAGCACCCACAACTTTTGGAGGCAACTCATTCCACTGGTTAATTGTTCTAATTGTCAGGAAGTTTCTCCTTAGTTCCAGGTTGCTTCTCTCCTTGATTAGTTTCCGTCCATTGCTTCTTGTCCTGCCTTCAGACGCTTTGGAGAATAGCTTGACTCCCTCTTCTTGGGGGAAGCCCCTGAGATATTGAAACACTGCTATCATGTCCCCCCTCCTCCTTCTCTTCATTAAACTAGACATACCCAATTCCAGCAACCGTTCCTTATATGTTTTAGCCTCCAGCCCCCTGATCATCTTTGTTGCTCTTCTCTGCTCTTTCCAGGATCTCAACAAGATCCTGAAACTTGGCTAGGCAGGATGTTGAGATCTAACATCTGAGATGCTGAGATTTAGCTAGGCAAGATGTTGACCATCTTAGTAAGCTGAAATGCAGCATAACCTCTAGTGCGATTTTAAGGCCATGCCACAAGACCAAAGTTTCATCTCAGTGAATTTATTGCTTAGTAATAAAATGTTGGGGTTTTAATGTATTGCATGGAGGAAAAAATATCCCTTTCCCATTTTTGGATCTCTGTATTACTCGCTCCAACTTATCAGAAAAGTTTACTCTAAAGCCTTGAGTTCTGCTTCAGAGCAATTTCATTTGCTTCAAACTTTTTATAAATATTAATGTCTGATTTTTAAATTATCACAACAAAGATAAGAACATCACTTTGTCTTCTCTTCAGATGACCTTCCTTGTTTGACAGGAGAAGATTTGTCAAAAGTCCAATATGACAAAACTTTTCATCAGATTTATCTGCATAACCTATTTGTGCCAATTGTCAGCTGTTACTCTGGAGACGGAGAGCATCCCAGCGACTAATTTGCTTCTAATTAATTATTAATTAATTAAATATTAATAATGCAAGTTATGGTGGAATATGATGGGCTATCAAAGAATGTGGTCCAGAAACATTAGCAAGATATTATTAGGTTGAACCCTAAATTAAAGAAATGCTTGCATGAATTACCAATAGTTGCACATATGTGGAAGGTTTTTGTCTAGCCAGGAACCCGTTTTCAAGGAGTTTGACTTTTTCACCTTTACTCCGGCTTCTGACTCATAGCAAAAGTAATCCAGACAACCAGCCTTTTGCAGCCCTTTGAAGTTACTACATCCCTGAAAAAAATTATTTATGACCCTTGTAGCATCCCATGGTCACATGATCAAAATTCAGACATCTGGCAGCCAGCCATGCATTTACAACAGTTGCAGCATCCCATGTAATAGTAATAGTAGTAAAGTTGGAAGGGACCTTGGAGGTCATCTAGTCCAACCCCCTGCTCGGGCAGGAAACCCTACACTATTTCGGACAAATGGCTGTCCAGTCTCTTCTTAAAAACTTCCAGTGTTGGAGCATTTACTGCTTCTGGAGGCAAGCTGTTCCACTGATTAATTGTTCTCACTCTCAGGAAGTTTCTCCTTAGTTCTAGATTGCTTCTCTCCTTGATTAGTTTCCATCATCATTTATGATCTTGCTGGCTGACTTCTGACCAGGAAAGTGAATGTGGAAAGCCAGATTCACTTACCAGCTGAAACGATTTGCTTAATAACCACAGCAAAAAAGGTCGCAAATTTGGGTGTGATTCACTTAATGACTGCCTTGCTTAGCAGTGGAAATTCTGGCCCCAACTGTGTTCATGAGCTGAAGACTACATGTAGAATTCCAAGTGTTGGGTTATGGGCCAGCCATGTGCTGCAGCCGCTAAGAGGGCCAATGCAGTCCTAGGGTGCTTTAACAGAGGGAGAGAATCAAGATCATGTGAAGTGTTAGTACTGCTTTACAATGCCTTGTTAAGTATTCCACACTTGAAATACTGCATCCAGTTTTGGTCGTCACAATACAAAAAAGATGTTGAGACTCTAGAAAGAGTGCAGAGAAGAGCAACAAAGATGATTACACGGAGCAGAGGCTAAAATATACAAAGAACGGTGGCTGGAATTGGAACTGTCTAGACCAGGGGTAGGTCACCTTGGCTCTTTTATGACTCATGGACTTCAACTCCCAGAATTCCTGAGCCAGCAATGCTGAGGGGAAATGGAGAGGTTTCCAAGCTGAGCCATGCTGGCTCAGGAATTCTGGGAGTTGAAGTCCACAAATCATAAAAAAGCCAAGATTGCCTATCCCTGGTCTAGAGACTGGTCTAATGAAGAGAAGGACGAAGGGGGACATGATAGCAGTGTTCCAGTATCTCAGGGGCTGCCCCAAAGAAGAAGGAGTCAAGCTATTCTCCAAAGCACCTGAAGGCAGGACAAGAAGCAACGGATGGAAACTAATCAAGGAGAGAAGCCACCTAGAACTACGGAGAAACTTCCTGACTGAACAATTAATCAGTGGAACAGCTTGCCTCCAGAAGCAGTAAATGCTCCAACACTGGAAGTTTTTAAAAAGGGGTTGGACAACCATTTGTCTGAAATGGTATAGATTTTCCTGCTTGATCAGTGGGTTAGACTGGAAGATCTCCATGGTCCCTTCCAGCTCTCTGTTCTGTGCCTACATATAAACCCATTAGCATTATTATTTCAGTATGTAAACTGCACTATATAAAAAAGAAGAAAGCCATTTTAGGAGTCATTTACCAAGCATAGCATATACTGAGAGTAAATCCATACCAGCAAACTTGCATTTTCAGACTTCTGCTGGCAAGCATGCTGAAATTCTTGGAAATATGTGTTTTAATGGGAAAAAGCACACCAAATCTTTCTGTGGCATTGTGAAATAATTATTTTCCTTGAAAACAAGTGCTGTATCTTCCACATATGTGCAAATTAGTGCTATTACACCTAGTAATTCATAAACATTTCTTTAACCAGGATTAGATATACCATCTACCATTTGCTGATGGAGGCTTTCTCTTCAACTACAAGTAATCTTTGACTTACAACTATTCATTTAGTGACCGCCCAGTTACCACAGCACTGGAAAAAGTGTCTTAGGACCATTTTTCACACTTACGACCCTTGGTCATGTGATCAAAATCCAGACACTTGGCAACTGGCTCATATTTATGACGGTCTCAGTGTCCTGGGGTCACGTGATCCCCTTCTACAACCTTCTGATAAGCAACCTTCTGACAAGCAAAGTTGGTAAGTGAAACCGGGAAGCCGGTTTCACTTACCAACCATGCCACTAACTTGTTAATTGCAGTGATTCACTTAACAACTGTGGCAAGAAAGGTTGTAAACTGGAGCAAAACTCACTTAACAACTGTTTCACTTAGCAACTGAAATTATGGTTGTAAGTTGAGGATTACCTGCATAACTTCCAGAATTTCTGGATACTTGTATGTAAGTCAAATCTAGGACAGGAAAGAATTCAAGCCTTTTAAGGGAGTTTTATACAATTACTTCAGTTTGAGGAAGCAGAAAGTCTGCACCGTGGGAAAATAGCAAAGAAATTAGGCAGAACATTATTTGAAGTGCTGTGGTAGACAGAATAACAAATGAGAGACACACACACAAACCCACATATAAACATTTCATGTGGTGTGCTTCAACACTAACAAGCACTTTCTCATACGGCATGCAATTATTCTGAAAAATCCTTCATGTTACTCTTCATGTTTAGCTAGATAATTCAACAATTTTTATGGCAGATGGGTGCATAAGACCCACGTTGTTAATGAGGGAGTCCCACCTGCTGATCAGTGAAACAGAAACTGGTTCTTAAGGTACAGAAAAAAAAACAAAAGGGATGTTAAAAAGAAAGCAGATGTTATAGGAAATCTGGATGACAATTTCTGAACTGTTGCTGAACAGAAAAGTCAGTCAAGGCTCCAGAGATCAAAAAAACCTTCCATTCCAACAATCTGTAAGTGATTCAACATATTTTTTTTCTCTTTCTCTCTCCATTTCCCAACTGTTCACAAACCAGATAAAATAAAGTAACTGTGGAGTGTTTGGCGCTCTCAAAGCTTGATTCTTTGCTTAGTTAGATTCTTATCAGTTTCCTGATGATGCTACCTAGCTGGGAAATGAAATGTCTACAAATAGACAACTGATCTCAGAGAGCACCAAGAACTGCACCGTTCAACTGTAAACTAAAGAAATTCTCTTCTATTGAAAATAAACAATATATGCACCGTCCAAGGGTCTCAGGTGATCGCCATTTTCGAACTTCCCAACTGGGATTTGTTGAAAGATAGCATGGTTCATGGCAAAAAGGTCATAAAATCAGGTGTGATTCACTTAACGGCTGCCTTGCTTAGCAACAGAAATTCTGCCCCCCAACTGTGGTCATTAAGTCGAAGACTGTCAATGCAAGATAAAACCTGCTTAGCTATCAAAGATAATTAAAATAGTATTAAAATATTGAGTTTAAAAAAAGGTATTGACTGCTACAAAATGTTTCTGGAGAGTGAGTTTTGGCTACACAATACAAGTTTGATTGTTGGTATATTTATTGTTTCATAGCAATGGCACTAACATGGCTACAATACTTGATATACATGCCATGATGATTTAACATATGTTTGCCATATTAGCCTGGATATTTGTCATTTATGACATTTGTCATACTTCAGTAGAAGTATCCTGTCAGTAAAACCATGCAATCTATATTGGTCATAAAAGGAAAACACTAAAATTAAAATGTGCCTGGGGAAGTTAATTATCATTGATTGATATTTGCTGTTCTGTAAAGAGCCGTTACATTTTATTACCCATATAAAATGAAAATGATCAGAGCAGCAATAATAATGACAGCATTTTACATATCAATTTTAAATCAACAATTAGGCTGCAGTGTTGTATAACCAGTAAATGAGGGTCTGTTAATGGCAAGTCTGTCTGTCCTTTGCTGACTCCATTCAAAATTATTTCATTTCAGTTCAAAAGATTACTCTTTTAGACTCATTCTGAGATAAAAGCCTTCCAGGGCAGTAATCTGGCTGACTTTGGTTGTCTTCCTGGAGATTTCTCTTTCATAAGTGTGCCTTTTCCCAAATTTATTTATTTTATTGGCAGAATTCATTAGACGTCCATCTTACCACATAGTTACCAGAAATAGATGCAAAAGAAGAACACTGAGAATTGAGAAGTTTTCTTGTTGTCAAAAGACTTGGCGTAGAGATTTTTTTTTTCACGGAGACAAAAAAAGTATGGGGAACTATACATTCAAAACTGTGTAGAACTCAGGTGTCCAAAGGTGGTTATGATAGTCATAGCTTGTGTCTTTCTGTATCAGAACTGTTCCTTGGTTAGGGGTTCCAGAGAGTCATAACTATGAGTCGGAAGCTGATCAGAAATTAAAACATTTGAGAAAGTTCTATGATTGCCAGCCTGATCCATGCTGAACTGAACTAAAAAGCTGAATTTTAGTTCAGTGGTAGCCAGGAAATTATAATCTCAGTTTGACCACCAGATTCCCGATAGATCAATTAGAAATACGGTTTGTAACATCTTGCTCTCATACTTCAAGAAACCTAATATGGTCAAAAATATTAAATGTTTTAATGTTAGATAAACAACTCTTAGATAACTAAGATAACTAAGAGTTCTTCTCAGTATGTGTTCCACCTTATCTTAATTTTAATACTATGCTCAGGGGTCCTTCTTTAAACATTGGATTTCTTGTCTTTGTCAGGAAACAACTGACCCACTCTAAGCCTGTCACTCTTAGAAGAGTCTGCAGTTTTCTGTTCACTCCCTCCCTCGTGGTCTTCACCATCACCCTCCTGGTCTCCTGCCACACTATGGTAAGAGGGAGGGATAGACTCCAAGGATGGTGTTTGAGACTCTTCCAGGTGTCGGATATAAGTTTCATTCATCAAAAGGGCAACGAGGCCTCCCTTTTCCAGGATGTCACCATCAGAGTTTTGGTGACGGTGTAAGAAGGAGGCTTGCTTCAGGGAACGTTGAAGCAAATGACTTCGAAAGGCTTTCTGGATTATGATAGCTGAAGCGTCCTCATATTTACGTCGGAGGGTGGTGGTGATTGGTTCGTGGGAAGCCCTGGATGGGTTAGCAGCCATGAACTTTTCCTCCATCTGTTGCTTGAGTATGTCCATCTGTCCAGAGTCCCCCAGAACCCTTTTGGTGAAAGCAAAGAGAATGTCCAAGCAATGGATTCTGTCTCCACTGACCATGGGCAGATCCATTGCGATCAACTCAAGGCTGTTTGGCTTAGGGATGCGCAAGGGATCCACTAAGGCGTGTGCAAAGTCAGACAGCTCAGAATATGAAATGAACTGGGTTGCCTTGGGGTCAAACTTCTCCCATACCTCGTAAAACATTTCAAAGTCATCGTCCCCTAAAGGCTCAGTGCTTTCTTCTGTGGCCACGTTGAAGTTCTCCAGAATGATAGCGATGTACATGTTCACCACAATGAGGAAAGATATAATGATGTAAGTCACGAAGAAGATGATCCCCATGGCAGGGTTTCCACAATCTCCTTTAGAAGACGTCGAAGGAACGTTGAGCTTTGGGTTACAAAATGGCGGCCCGGTGTTCAAAATGGGGCTGAGGAGCCCATCCCAGCCAGCAGAGGTCGTGATCTGGAAGAGGCAGAGCATGCTGTTCCCAAAGGTTTCAAAGTTAAACAGGTCATCAATCCCAGCTTCTCTGACAACATACGCGAAGTTGGCCATGCCAAAAATGGCGTAAATGAACATCACCAGAAAAAGCAGGAGGCCAATGTTGAACAGAGCAGGGAGAGACATCATCAGGGCAAAAAGGAGGGTCCGGATTCCTCGAGCAGATCGAATAAGCCGAAGGATTCGTCCTATCCGTACTAAACGGATCACCCGGAAAAGCGTGGGCGAGAAAGAGACGACAATCCCAGACAGTACGTTACCTGAAAGGGAGACAGAAGGGATCAAATTCTTCTTCACTGGGTGTATTGACTTAGGAAAAGAAGGAAGGAAGGAAGGAAGGAAGGAAGGAAGGAAGGAAGGAAGGAAGGAAGGAAGGAGAGAGAGAGAGAGAGAGAGAGAGAAAGAAAGAAAGAAAGAAGAGAGAAGGAAAGAAAGAGAAAGAGAGAGAGGAGAAAGAAAGAGGAGAGAGAGAAAGAGAGAGAAGTAAAAAGAGACAAAGAAAGAGAAAGAGAGAAAGAAAGAGAGAGAGAGAGAAAGAAAGAAAGACAAAGACAGAACGAAAGAAAGGGGTGAGAGAAGGAAAGAAAAAGAGAGAAAGAAAATGAGAGAGAAAGAAAAAGAGAGAGAAAGGGAGAGAGAAAAAAAAGAAAGAAAGAAAGAAAGAAAGGAGAGAAGGAAAGAAAGAGAGAGAGAAAGAGAGAGAGAAAGAAAGAAGAGAGAGAAGGAAAGAAAGAGAAAGAGAGAGAGAGGAGAAAGAAAGAGGAGAGAGAAAGAGAGAGAGAAAGAAAAAGAGACAAAGAAAGAGAAAGAAAGAAAGAGAGAGAGAGAGAGAGAGAAAAAAAAAGAAAGAAAGAAAGAAAGAGAGAAAGCGAGAAAGAAAGAGAGAGAAGGAAGGAAGGAAGGAAAGAAGGAAGGAAGGAAGGAAGGAAGGAAGGAAGGAAGGAAAGAAGGAAGGAAGGAAGGAAGCTCTCCATGGTGTTTCCATGGAAATGTTGATAAAGATATCAAAAACACCTGGATACTTTAGAAATACAACTTTTAAAAGCAAAGCAATTTTCCTTAAAAGCTACATGATGTCTAATGAATCTGTACTGCTAAAATTGTGCACTTTTAAAGTCCCTTGGTAAGATAATCATCCCTGGTCCTCTCAGAGAACACAACCCCTGACAGGTCACACAACGCATGTGGGTCTGAATGATACATTGCTTCCCCCCCCCCCTCCGCCGCCGTGAAGGAGGACCATGATTCTCTACCTTCTTGGCTGCTCTCTTCCTTCCAGGGCCTCTGGCCAAAATTTCTTGGCATCACTGGAGCCCTGATCTGCTCAGGGCAACGTCTCCTTCAGTCTTTCAATTCTCCCTCCCGGCTAAAACAAACGTGTGTCTTTACAGACTGCGTTCCCTGATTGGCCATTTTGTTCTCTATACTTGTCCTCTAATTAGCATCTCTTTTTCTCTTCTTATTCATAATGTATTTTATTCTCTTGATATTGTTGTGAGCCGCCCATAGTCTTTCTAGAATTATTACGTAAATCATATAAATTAAGTCAAGCTTGATGCCAGTCACTTCATGCACAAATCCACGTAGTTTCTTTGAAGCAATATAAATAATTTGCTACTAGTTTCCTCCAGAATCTCTCTCTCTTTCTCTCTATTCCTGTCTCTGTCTCTTCCTCCCTCTCTTCCTACATCTCTCTCTCTCTCTCTTTCTCTCTCAGAGATTTTTTATCTATATCTATCTATCTATCTATCTATCTATCTATCTATCTATCTATCTATCTATCTATCTATCTATCTATCTATCTATATATATATATCTACCATCTATCTATTTCTAGTGTAACCTACAACACTGAGAAGTCTCTTGTGCAAATACTAACAAGACCAAAACCGCATCTGATCCCATAAAACAGGGCTCTTCAAACTCAGCCCTTTTATGATTCATGGACTTCAACTCCCAGAATTCCTCAGCCAGACATGCTGGCTGAGGAATTCTGGGAGCTGAAGACCATGAGTCATTAAAGGGCCAAGTTTGAAGACCCCTGGTATAGAAAGTCATCCAGTTCTACCACTAATGGGGAGCCTCATCTGCTTCCTTTGACTAAGTGTTGGGGACATCTTTGGATCTTTGGAGAAGTCTTTGCAGGGTTTGGACCACAACACCAAGTGCTACTGTCTCCTGTCTCTTTTGGAGAGAAGTGGACATCAAAATGCCTTTGTAGGTATATGGCTTATGGTATCCAGTGAAGAGCTGCAATAGAGGTGCAATAGAGGTGTTTCTTTAACTCTTGACACCCCTGATTTCAATAGGCACAATTTAGCAGGGGACTTCAAAGGTTTTAGTGCTTGACTTTATTGATATTGATAATAACTTTATTGTCACTTTGAATGTACACCAATCAGCATACATCAAAATGAAATTTTGTTGCATACAGCTCTCAAAGAGTCACCACCTCCGATATATACTCCTTGTTCGTGGCCAGCTCAAGTTTCAGATCGTCCATTTAGTCTCTAGGGAGCGAACGATGGCAAACAGGACAGATGGAACCGGAGCTCCATGTGGATTAGGCCTCAAATTAGCTTGTATTCCTGCACAACAACCTCACCTCCTTTCCTTTTTTTGATCCTGACTGTTCCACCTTTTCCTTAAAGAGGCCTTGCTTCTTTTTGCCCCTGGAGCACGCTGCCACTGCCCCCAACTCCTCCAAAAGCCTCTCTCCCATCCTCTGGGCCTGCCAACAGCCTCATCCAGTTTGTTTGTTTGTTTGTTTGTGAGACTTATATACCGCTTTAAGTGCAAGCACTCTCTAAGCGGTGTACACCAGTAAGCAATGTATATATATATATATATATTTACATTGCCCCCAACAGTCTGGGTCCTCATTTTACCTACCCCGAAAGGATGGACGGCTGAGTCAACCTTGAGCCGGTGAGATTTGAACCGCTGACCTGCTGAACACAGTCAGCTAAAGTGGCCTGCAGTACTGCACTCTAACTGCTGCGCCACCTCACCTCCTTCGCCTCATAAGCCCCGGGACCTCTCCTCCTCTGCCTCCTTTGGAAACGGCCCTGATTTGCAATAGAATCCATCGCTGGGCCAGCAGTCAGATCTTGCTGCTGGCAGAACAATTTCAAACAGCGCCAACGACTTTTAACGGTCTCACCAACAGTTCCGAAACAGCTAGAAACTTGCCATGCCAGCAAAGATTGTCGGTCGTATGTTACCTTAGTTCCACCACGTTTCTCAAACACATCAAAACCTTCCTGATCATGTGGCCCATATCCCTTAATATCTCTCCCAAAACTTTTCATCTTCGACAGCCGATGCAGCGCGCCGCCATTCTACCACGTTTAGCATTCTAGCTGGCGTTGCCAATAATAATAATAATAACCAGTAAGATCAACCTACCTACAATTGACATGATCACAACCACCAGATCAAAAATATTCCATCCATTGATAAAATAGTAATGTCTCAAGGCCACCAGCTTCATGACACACTCAGTTGTGAACAGAGTGATAAAGAGGATGTTAATCTTGTTCAGCACATAGATCTTCTCCTGAGACTGGTCGTCCGCCTCCACCATCATTGTGACCATATTAAGGCAGATGAGAGTCATGATGGCAATATCGAACACTTGGTGAGTCACAATATCAAAAAGGAAGCCTTGGTACTTGTTCTAGAAGCAAGGGGAAGAAGAAGAGAAGCAACCTTGCTCAGAATTTAATGTATTATCAACAGAAGAGAATCTCTGAAGCTCAGGGGTTGAACTGTGGAGGCCTTGGTGCTCTCTGAGTTTGGGTTGGGTTTTTTACAGACATGTTATGACCCAATATCATCAGTGGTAGAAGGGAGTGGGGTTTTGCAGAGAGGAGGAGAAGGAGGAGGAGGACAAGGACAAGGAGGAGGAGAGGAGGAGGAGGAGGAGGAGGAGGAGGAGGAGGAGGAGAAGAAGAAGAAGAAGAAGAAGAAGAAGAAGAAGAAGAAGAAGAAGAAGAAGAAGAAGAAGAAGAAGAAGAGAGAGAGGAGGAGGAGGAGGAGGAGGAGGAGGAGGAGGAGAAGAAGAAGAAGGAAGAAGAAGAAGAAGAAGAAGAAGAAGAAGAAGAAGAAGAAGAAGAAGAAGAAGAAGAAGAAGAAGAAGAAGAAGAAGAAGAAGAAGAAGAAGAAGAAGAAGAAGAAGACAACTGTGGGCTCTGTGGTGCTCTCTGAGTTGGGTTGTTTGCTTGCAGATATTTGATGATGTTACCTAATTAGGTAATGTAACGTCTTCAGGAAAACAACCAAGCTCAGAGAGCACCAAGGACCCCACAGATTAGCTTGGAATAGGGCAGTGCACACCAGAAATACATCTGGAAAAAAGTGCATTGGACTTTGCACAAACCCAAATCATACAAAGCACCTTTCTACCTTTCCTTAGAATAGTCTTTTATTTTTCAGTCTCGCAGAACAAAAAATAGTTGTGACCACTTTAATGACTCTGCTCATTAAAATCAATGCAAATTTTAAAGCAGTTGAACCTTTTGTTTTGGCTCATGCTGAAAATGCTTTAATGATAGTACAGGCCCTCTGTGGTTTGTGCAACACCCAAAACATTTTTTTCATATTCTCTCCAAAGCAAGCACAGCTGTACTCATTATTTTCCAAAACCGACCCCCAATAATTTATGTTACAAATGAATGCAATCAGGAAATAAACTCTTGGTGCTTCTAGTGTTATTTTCTTATCTGTGTAACAAAGGACAGTTCTATACAGGTTGTCCCCGACTTATGACCACAATTGAGCCCAAAATTTCTATTGCTAAGAGAGATATTTATTAAGTGAGTTTTGCCCCATTTTACGACCTTTCTTGCCACAGTTGCTAAGTGAATCACTGCAGTTCTTAAGTTAGTCACACGGTTGTTAAGTGAATCTGGCTTCCCACTGACTTTGCTTGTCAGAAGGTCACAAATGGGATCACGTGACCCCAACATGCTGCAACCGTTATAAATATGACCCAGTTGCCACGCATCTGAATTTTGAACAAATGACCATGGGGATGCTGCAGTAGTTGTAAATGTGAAAAATGATCATAAGTTACTTTTTTAAATGCCGTTGTAACTTCGAACTGTCACTAAATGAAATTTGTTTGTTGAGGACTACCTGTTATGAGAAAAAAAAAAAAAAACCCACTGCTCTTCCTTAGGGCAAATGATCCCTCTAACTGCAGCCCTGGAAAAATGTCTCCTGAATTGCTTGCTGATGATAAACTTGATTATCCTGTCTGTACGGAAATTTCTGCCACTTCTAATGTATAATCTTAACCCTAAGATTCATTGTTTACTTCCCATCTAGATTACTGCAATGCGCTCTACGTGGGGCTGTCCTTGAAGACTACCCAGAAACTTTAACTTTCACAGCAGGGGCATCTAGGTTTGCCCATGTAACGTCTATGCTGTGTGAGCTGCACGGATTTGAGGTTTTGAGGCTTAGGATTTTGTGATTATAGAAATGGCTTCAAAATTTTGTGAAATGTAAAGCAAAAGGTCGAGGTTGCACTATCTTTGTAATCTACTGCATCAAAAAAAAAATTTAGTTTTTTCTCTCTCTCCTCACCCCTTTCTCTTTCCTTTTCTTATTTTGCTAACTTATATTTCTTCTATATTTTTATCTTATAATGATAATTAATTAAAAAAGTATTTAAAATATATATCTACTCCAGTCCATTAAATATGAATAACAATAATATAATTATACTAATAAGTATAATAGAATACAATAACAGAATAAGAGAGTTGGAAGGGACTTTGGAGGTCTTCTAGTCCAACCCCTTACTCAAGCAGGAGAACCTATACCAGTGGTGGTGAACCTTTGGCACAGGTGCCAGAGGCGGCACTCAGAGCCCTCTCTGTGGGCACACGCGCTGTCGCCCCAGTCCTAGGCCTTCGGCTGGGTTTTATAAAACCTTTTTGTTTTAGGCCTCCGCCACCATGTGCAAAAAAAAAAAAGGTTCAGTCAATTTCAATTTCTCATGGGGAAAAAAAAGATCTTGCAAAGTTGGAATTGATTGATTGAACTTTTTAGTCCCACCCAGTCTGCCGTTACCACCATAGCCACACCCACCCAATTGGCCACACCCACCCAATTGACCACACCCACCCGGGACTCAACGATGCATAAGTGGGTTTTGGGTTGCAGTTTGGGCACTCAGTCTCTAAAAGGTTCGCCATCACTGACCTATACCATTTCAGATAACGTAGATTGATTTGAAGTGGGCAGCCTTATTCATTTTGGCAAGCATATTCTAACGGTAATCCTTTGGAGGGTATTCTTACCGTTGGCCTTGGTATAGGCTTTTGAGGCTTCTTTGATCCCAGTTTTTTCATAGCATTATAGTACTTCTTTTGTTCTTCTGTCATAAAGATGTCTTGTCCACCAAAGTACAAGGAGAAAACACAACAAATACTATTGACAGTGCATTTTGCATTGTTTCAAAGCCAACAGTCTATTTTTGAAACATCACTCATCTTTCTTCTGAAGTCATGCTGAATTATTACAAACAAATCAAAGACTCTTTGCTGACCATATTGAAATCCTTAAGTTGTCCTAAAGTTAAGCTGTTCATTGCTCCAGACTTGCTATTTTGAGAACTAAGAATTAAAAACATGAAGATGTTTTCATCCCAATAGAGTTTGCCTCCTAATATACCTGTCCCAATTTTACTGCTCTACAACAGAACTGAAATTTTCCCATTTCCCCCATCCCTGCCCCCCCAAAAGAGAATAAAATTGAAAAAAATTTCTCCTCTGATATTCACAGAAAACTGAGCATTTTCCAAAACTTATTGCAAAACTGTGGAGGAAGAACCTGCATGTACTGTATATAAAAAACTAAGTTCCTTTCTGCTAGCAAGATTAAAAAATGAATATAAATTGAGTTCTTGATACCTTCCACCTACAGAAGGTCAGTCAGGTGTGGCACCCTCCTAACTCTTGCAATTCTCTTTCCCATTCAGCGAGCACAAAGCAAGACAAGAAACGTGGATACTTATCTTTTTCTTTTGTTGATTAAAATTGTCAATAATGACCCCCACAAAAAGATTCAGAGTGAAAAAAGAGCCAAAGATGATGAAAATCACAAAGTAGATGTACATATATTTGCTGTACTCCCATTTTGGCTGACGCTCAACCTGGAAAAAATGAAGGACAGAGACGTGGCTTTTAGACTGAGTTTTTTTTTTTTTTTTTTTAAATCCTCTTTATAGCTAGTCAAGACCTGTGTTTTGCTAGAGAAAAATATCTTGGTGCAATCCGATATATGAACCAATACAGATATTAATATTTTTTCCACAGGTTGCAGTTACATAAAGATGAATGCTGTCTCTCATTATCTCAGAACAATTATTATGAAACATGTAGAAACGAGAAGCAAACACTTCAACAGTTCCTATTATCTAATGTTTACAGATAGTCTTCGGCTTACGACTGGTTGCTTAACACTGTACAGAGTTATGATGGACTCCCCCAAAAGATACCAATCATCCAGATTCTTAATTCCAACATCTGGGCCCTCCATCCCTGCTCTTGTGATTGCACATTTGCTGCACATTTCTGCAGTCATATGACCACAATTTACTATGTTTTTTTGCGGGAAACTGCCACTTAGTTCCAATTTCTGGCAAAGATCTTCCCATTGAGGACAATGGGTCCACTTAACGACCATGGTGTTTAATGACCACAAATATACTTAACAATGTTGTCAAGTTGGGTCAGTCATATGATGATCCACTTGATAAATTCCTAATAGTGAGGACAATTAACCAGTGGAACAGCTTGTCTTCAGAAATCGTGGGTGCTCCATCACAGGAGGTTTTTAAGAGACTAGACCAGTGGTGGCGAACCTATGGCAGGGGTGCCAGAGCTGGCACTCAGAGCCCTCTCTGTTAATACATGTGCCACCGCCACCAGTAGCAGGTGCATCAGGCCACCACTGCAGTCCAGAGCAGGAGCCCCACCCAGCACAAAGGAGGCGAAGCGGCCGACTAGCAAGCTCGAGTAGAGGTGGTAGAGCAGAGGTCACCAACCATTGTCGATTGGTGAACTGGAAGAAGAGGGAGGGGAAGCATTTTACATGCACACATGTGCACAAGGGGCGGCGAGCACGCATGCGCTGCAAATGGGGCGGGGCTAGTGCCTGCATGATACTCACTAGCCCTGCCCCGTTCTTGCATGGTGCAGCACCTTGTATCTGCACCCTGCGACGCGGCAGCAGCCATTTTTGCACCTTGCAGCACAGTAGCCCATTTTTGTGCCCCTGGTTTTTCCGTACCAGAGGCGACACTCAGAGGCACCTCCTTGCCCCCCCCCCCCGAGGGCACCACAATGCTGATGCGGCCCTGGCACTTTGTGATAAATAAGTGGGTTTTGGGTTGCAGTTTGGGCACTCGGCCTCTAAAAGGTTCGCCATCACTGGACTAGACAGTCACTTGTCTGAGATGGTATAGGTTCTCCTGCTTCAGGAAGGGTGGACTAGAAGACCTCCAAGGTCCCTTTCAGTTCTATTCTATTCTAATAACAGACACAACTTATGACTGCAATTCCAGATTCAATTTTACAGTTGTAAGTAGAGGACCACCTGTGCCCCCTTACTATTGTTCCAGGAAACTAGACACAATAAGTTTGGTTAGATCTCCTTGTTCCTGTAGAATACAAGAATAACTTATATTAAATCCAAAATGCTTCACTTCAAAAACCGAGATGTGCTTTATATTTTCCACTAGACGAGATGACAACAGCTTCTTTCAATAGCATCTTTTTCAACTCACAAACTTTATTCAAAATTCAAGCTCCCGAAATTATAGTGAGACAGTAATTCAGTCTCAGTTTGAAGAGGAAAATCTGCAAGTGGGTAATTACCATGTAATTATTCAATTACTATAAGGAAGGCTAGCAATGTCAAACTAATTTTAAAAAATTAGCAAGCCCTACATAATAACTTGAATTTCTATTTTGGCTTATCTGAAGCTTTCAGCTTTTCCATTAAGCTTCTCTCAATTGGCTCTTTTATTACAACCATCTGAACATTTTATACATATCTATGTGATATCAGCTATCTATGTGATATCCCATATCTATGTGATATCTAGGAAGCTGAAAGAGTTGGGAAAACAACCCAAAATAAAGCAATAGCAAATCATTTCCATATTTCACCAAATAAAAGACACAGATGTGTCCATGTGAATGGAGATCAACTCATAGGTGACATTACTTTACTGAGTTCTAGTTCTGTCTTAGGCATAAAAATGTCAGTGGGACTTTGAGCCAGTCACCAGGAGATTTTAAATTCTAGTTCCAACTTAGACATGAAATCCAGCTGGGTGATTTTGGACCAATCACAAGGAGAAGGAGAGTTCTAATCCCACCTTAGGCATGAAAGCCACCCAGATGACTTTCACTCAATGACCAGGAGAGGCTGAGATCTACTGTAATTCTGCCTTAGACATGAAAAACCATTTGGGTAACTTTGGACCAGTCCTTCTCTCTCAGTCCAACCCACCTCATAGTGTTGTTACTGTGGAAAATAGGATGAGGAAGGTAGTTTGAACATGTTTGCGTCCTTGAGTTATTTGTAAAAATAATAAAGATGGGATAGAAAAAAACAAAGGACCAGTTTGGCTTTAGGAACACTTTGTTTATCTTGGATTCCCACATCACTCTCAACTTGGTTAGTAAGACAGAAACTGAAGAAGCAGATGTACTGAGATCCAGTTCCCCATTTTGGAAAAAAACAGCAGAATCTCTCCCTTCCTCCAGTTCTCCTTCTAATTCAGGGGTTCTCAATCTTGGCAACTTTAAGACTTGTGGACTTCAACTCCCAGAATTCCTCAGCCAGCAAATTCTGGGAGTTGAAGTCCACAAGTCTTAAAGTTGCCAAGGTTGAGAATTGCATTGATGATGCTGGAGTTTCTATACTTGTGTTTCTTATAATTTCTGTGTCTCAAACAACAGGAAGAATTTATCTGCCCAAACACATTAGAATTCAATTCCGTTTTATACCAGTTTATGGCAATCTCCGCTGAATCTCAGATAGGTTTTGCATAGGAAGGTTACCGTGTTTTGGATATGTTCTGGAAGGCTTGCATTTTGCCTCCTATGACATTCCTAGATCCCCATACACACTCCTCCCCCTCCCCCAAAAACCCAAGAAATAAGCTGCATAGGCCCGATATTTTAGAGTAAAAGTCAAAATGGTGAAGAGAGGCAGTGCATGATGGGAGCAGTTCCCTGCAGCTGAATAAGGCACTTACTCGGAGCTGAGGAACAGAGATATGCTGGCTCAGTGGTTAGGCAGGCAGGAAACAAGTAAAAAGCAACGAAAAAAGTTCTGGCTTTTCAAACCCTTGTTTAGAAACCCAGTGAAGATTCAAGAATGGGGGCATCTCCAGGAAATCCCAGAGCCTGCTGGGTGCATATCCTTTTCCTGAGCCTTTCTAAGACCAAGCACTTCTCCTGGCTGGCTCACCTAAAATGTTATGTAGGATCTGAAGTGTGGCTTGGTAACAAATGCAAGAAATCAGAAGTTGCCTTTAAGCTTATGTGTTTATTCAGCTGAAGAAAAACGGGCCCCTCTAAAAGAGAGGAAGCCCAGAGTGACAATAAATCCTCATATTTATACTTTTTGATTACATAAGCAATCCACCCACCAAGGCCAACACAGTGCTAGGCTGCATTAACAGAGGGATAGAATCAAGATCACGTGAAGTATTAATACCACTCTACAGTGCCTTGGTAAGGCCACACTTGCAATACTGCATCCAGTTTTGGTCACCACGATGTAAAAAAGATGTTGAGACTCTAGAAAGAGTACAGAGAAGAGCAACAAAGATGATTAGGGGACTGGAGGCTAAAACATATAAGGAACGGTTGCTAGAATTGGGTATGTCTAGTTTAACGAAGAGAAGGACAAGGGGGGACATGATAGCAGTGTTCCAATATCTCAGGGGCTGCCCCAAAGAAGAGGGAGTCAAGCTATTTTCCAAAGAGCCTGAAGGCAGGACAAGAAGCAACAGATGAAAACTAACCAAAGAGAGAAGCAACGTAGAACTAATGAGAAACTTCCTGACAGTGAGAACAATTAACCAGTGGAACAACCTGCCTCCAGAAGCGGTGAATGCTCCAACACTGGAAGTTTTTAAGAAGAGACTGGACAGCCATCTGTCTGAAATGGTATAGGGTTTCCTGCCTGAGCAGGGGGTTGGACTAGATGACCTCCAAGGTCTCTTCTAACTTTATTATTATTATTATATGAGAAAGAATTTACTTGGAAAGGCTATAGATAAGATAAGAAAGAATAGAAATAGCTAAAGATATTCTTTTGGGTGTTTCCCTAAAGTCACTGGGTGTTCTCAGATGTCTTGGGACATTGGGTGTTCCCTTGGTGATTTTTCATGGCCCTGAAGTACCCAGAGATAGAGGGGCCACCTGCACATATATACAATCTATGCTTTCTCCTGATTCTTGGTCAACACAGTGGTAAAAGAAACTGAGCTTGGCAGCTGGAAAGCTGACAGGCCAGATCAAGACCTGAGCAACACACAACAGGGTGAGTTCCTGTTATTGCTCCAGCTCCTGCCCATCTAGAGTTCAAAAGCTGGAAATGCGAGTAGATAAATAGGTACCCCTTTGGTGGGAAGGCAACAATGTTCTATGTGGTTGGCGTATAGTCATGTTGTCTACATGGCCAGGGACAACGCTGGCTCCCTCAGCTAGGAAAAGGAGATGAGCACCCAGCCCCTAGAGTCGGACACAACCAGACAGAGGAAACGTTTATTTTTACCTTTACATAGAAGCTGTGGAACTCCAACCTTTGACAACTACACTGCCAGTAACTGTAATGGGATGTGGAAATAATCTTGAGAAATCAGGCTAAGAAATGCTACCTAGAAAATGGTCAGATAAGAGAAAGCATAGGCCATAGGTGCCTAGTGGACAATGCAAGAAGCTCTGGAGCAGTGGTTCTCAACCTTTTTAATGCCGCGACCCCTAACCGGTCGTAAGTCAAGGACTACTCAACCGGTCGTAAGTCGAGGACTACTCAACTGGTGCAGCACCGTTTGCAGAATGGGGCTTTTGGCAGGCTCAGCAGGGCAGAAACAGCCTGGACAATTCCTATTGGCTTTTGAAAGCCAATAGAATTAGACTCTATTCAAGAGAGTCTATTCTATTGGCTTTCAAAAGCCAATAAAATAAAAGGGAGTAGCACAGCTAAGGAAAAGGGGAAAAAAATGGTGGACTGCGTTGTTTGGTGACCCCCGTGAAATGGTCGTTCGACCCCAAATGGGGTCCCGACCCACAGGTTGAGAACCACTGCTCTGGAGGGACCTTCACGAAGTTATTGGACTGTCTATATGGCAATATTTGTAATGGGGTGAAGTTGAGGGAAAACAAACTAACTGGGTTCTCATAGCAATGTATCACAAACTCCCATACCCTATTTTAGTCTGCATGTTAGCGACATGTTTTGGCAGTGTGAGAAATTTAATTGTAAATTGCACAGATTTCGAATGGTTTACCTAAATTACATACATATTTTCTTTCTCACCGTACATACCGGTAGTTATGTATATACATGTGAAGATAGCTTTAGAAAGCATCTAGATATCACTGTCCTCCACATAGCCAAGAAACAGCCTCATACTTCATCTGACATTCACAGTGGCTGTGAACAGATTTTTTTATTTAATTTACTTTTTAATAACCCATCTTTATTATTTTTATAAATAACTCAAGCTGATGAACATACTTCTTTCTCCTCCTATTTGGGCTAAGAAGAGTGACTGGCCCAAAGTCACTCAGTGTCTTTCATGCCTAAGGAGGGATTAAAACTCATTGTCTCCTGGTGATTGGCCCAAATTCTCCTAGCCAGCTTTCATGCCTAAGGCAGGACTGGAACCCAGAGTCTCCTGGTGATTGGCCCAGAGTTATCCAGCCAATTTTCATGCCTAAGGCGAGACTAAAAGTCACCATCTAAAAGTCACATTTCTAGCCTGGTGCCGGAACCACTAACCAAACTAGCCTTGAAAGGTGCCTTATAAAAGATGCCCTATATTCCAATTGGACAGAGAAGGGAAGTGTTGATTTAACACAAGAAGTAGTAAATAAATTTGTCTAAGACTTACTCCTGTTGAATCAACTGCTGCATACATTATGTCCATCCAACCTTTAAAAGTTGCCTAAAAGAAAATAAGAAAAACAGGATGAAATAATTGATGCAGTGTAAAGAAGCTGTTGGACAACAGGCAAATAATAAAGAGCTGAAGGTTTGCATTAGTCTCCATTCAGGACCTCTTGGAGAAAATCACACGTGTGGCTTTTTTTTTCTCTTAATTTTTTTTAACCAAGAATTTTTTATTTTTTTATTCAAAACATTAAAATACAAATTCCAAAAGGGGAAAAAAGTATAAAAGCAAAGCAAGACTATTGAACACACATACACAAAAAGAAAATAAATGCAGATAAAAAGAAAAAGACAGATATATAAACATACATATTTTAACATTTTGAATAAAATGTGGTTTTGAATTAAAAGATATAAGGTCTCAATAAATTATGTTTGTCTTCTAAAAATTTGCATCCATAGACTTTTCTTGAGAAGCTTAACAGTTTATTGTTGCCTTCTAGGATTCTTTTCAATTTCCCAGGCAAATCTATATTTCTGAGATTCCCAGGTAGAGTCTCAACTAAATACTAACCAAACTAAACCTAGTTAGCTTCTAGCCCAAAGCCTAGAAGATGCTGACCTTTTAAGTTAGATCAGGACTGTCCCAACTTTGCAATGTTAAGACTTGTGGACTTCAATTCCCAAAATTTTCATCACATGACCTGGGAATGCTGCAGGATCCAGGTGTGATGGATTCACCACCAAGAATATTAATGTATGAAGAAAAACTTTCTAGGACTTTTGTGCTATTGGTTGACCAGCTCATCTACTTCTAAAACTTGCATGAATGATGGAAAGCAGAGTACGAGTTAAATAGGCATGGAATTAAATTATGGCTGAGACAGGAGGATAAATCTGCAAGAGGTCAGGTAGGATGGGGTAGTTATGTGCATGTGTATAAAAGGAAGAAAAATCACACAAATTCTCAAACCTACCACTTGAAGAAGAGCCAAATAGCCTAAGCCAACGTTATCAAAGTTCACTTTAACCGTGGTCCAATACAGTTGTCCGGTACTGTTTTTATTCTTGCAGTCTGACTTCCGAAAAATAATACTTTCATTGATAAAGCTATTTATTTCGGTCCGATTAATGCATTTTCCAAATTTTCCAGCAAATAGGCTGACTCCAACAATGCTAAAGATGAGCCAAAAAATCAGGCAGACAAGCAGCACATTCATAATGGAAGGAATGGCTCCAAGCAAGGCATTGACCACCACCTGTGATGCGGAGGAAGGGAGGGAGAGAGGGAGGCAGGGAGGCAGGGAGAGGGAGGGAGAGAGGCAGGAAGGGAGGCAGGGAGGCAGGGAGGGAGGCAGGAAGGGAGGGAGAGAGGGAGGAAGGAAGGAAGGAAATTTGATTTTTTTAAAATTGATGCATTTTTTAGTTGCAGTAGCTGTAAATCTAAATCCTCTATTACCAAGATTTTTTTAAAAAAAATAAATGTTATTCAAATCCAGCTTTTAAAAAATCCTATTCATCATTCTTTTAAAGATGTAGATATCATTAACATAGTTTTATATAAATAAATATGTTTTACAGGTATATTTACAGCAAACGAGATAGTCAGGAAAACAGGAGCATCATGAGGTAAATCACGGATCACATGGAAAAAAAGGCGGGAAAAAGGGGAAACTCCCCTTCCCCCTCCACAGCAACCAATCACAGTGAAGGTTGCCTCACATGGCAGCCCGCCCTCTCCAATCAATCAACCCTGTGTGTTCTGGTTGACTGCACAACCTCACTGCTCCAGCTACTAAATCTGAATTAAATTTCTTAAGAACCTTCCAAATGTAATATCCCCAAACTGTTTTCACTTTTGCCAACGGTCGCATAGCAACTGTTTGAAGTTATGATAGGTTCCCCCCCTCCTCCCAGTCAAAGGTAGTTCTGATCCAGTTCCAGAGTTCTGGTGGCCGGGTTCCCCCTCTCATGTTCACATTACATGTCAGCCCTCAGCAACTGGCCCACCTTTACAGTTATTTGCAGCATCCCGTAGTCATGTGACTTTTTTTTTTTTTTTGCCAAAAACTGACATTTACTCCTGGTTTTCAGTGAAAAACCACCTCACAATAAACAATGGATTTACCTAACAACATTGGCATTTACATAATGGCCACTACCAAAAAAAAAAGGTCACAAAGTCAAATCAGTGACATGGATGACAGGCTTTATCACCATCACAACTTATTATTGTAGTGGGCAGGCTCCATTACGGTCATAAGTCAAGGACTATCTGTACTGCAGTGTTTCTCAACCTAGGCCAGGGGTAGGCCACCTTGCCTTTTTTATGACTCGTGGACTTCAACTCCCAGAATTCCTGAGCCAGCCATGCTGAGGGGAAAGGGAGAGTTTCCAAGCTGAGCCATGCTGGCTCAGGAATTCTGGGAGTTGAAGTCCACGAGTCATAAAGCGGCCTAGGCCTAGGCCAGAGATAGGTAACCTTCGCTCTTTTATGACTGGTGGACTTCCTCCCAGAATTCCTGAGCCAGCCATGCTGAGGGGAAAGGGAGAGTTTCCAAGCTGAGCCATGCTGGCTCAGGAATTCTGGGAGTTAAAGTCCACGAGTCATAAAAGAGCCAAGATGGCCTACCCCTGACTAGGCAATTTTATGCTGTGTAAACGTCAACTCGCAGAATTCCCTATTAGCATATTTGGAAATCTACCCATTGATTTAGCATTGTTCTATCTAAGTTGCTATTTTACTTCTGTATATTGCCTCATGGGTCTGAATGTTGCTTCCTAATGACAAAAGTAAAAAGTTCACAGTTGTAGAGATAGCTTGCTCTCTTTATTGGATGCTCCAGAGCTCTTAGAAATCACCTGTCAGGACCAGATTTGGCAGCCTTTGTTTAAAATAAAAGCTAAATGGGATCAGGAGATCCCTGGGGAAATCAGTTCTCAGGACTTGTGTTTGTGTTTGTGTGTTAAAGCAGTAGAGGGAGGGTGGGTTTCACCTCTCCTGTCTGCGAGTAGCCGCATTGGCCACTGTGAGAAACATAATACAGGTAGTCCTCGACTTACAATCGTAACTGAGCCCAAAATTTGTCTTACTAAGTGAGTTTTGCTCTGTTTTATAAACTTTCTTGCCACAGCCATTAAGTGAATCACTGCAGTTATTAAATTAGTAACATGGTTGTTAAGTGAATCTGGCTTCCCCATTGACTTCACTTGTTAGAAGGTCACAAAAGGGGATCACATGACCCCAGAACACTGCAACCGTCATAACTATGAGTCAAGTGCCACATGTCCGAAATTTGATCATGTGACCACAGGGATGCTGCAACAGTCATAAGTGCAAAAAAATAGTCAAAATCACTTTTTCCAGTGCCGTTATAACTTTCAACAGTCATTAAATGAACTGTTGTAAGTTGAGGACTACCTATACAGGTCTTTGATGGGCTTGGCCTGGTCTAGTACAGGTAATCCTTAAGTAAATATAATTCTTCTCTTGATAGGACCAAACTAGTATTTTTCAACACTGGCAACTTTTAAGATGTGTGGACTTTAACTCCCAGAATTCTCCAGCCAGCATCAGTGAAGTCTCCACATCTTAACGTTGGCAATTTTTGAAAAACTCTGGATTAAACCATGAATGGGGGAAGATCACCTAGTGTTAGAGCAGTGGTTCTCAACCTGTGGGTCGGGACCCCATTTGGGGTCAAACGACCATTTCACGGGGGTCGCCAAACAACACAGTCCGCCATTTTTTCCCCCTTTTCCTTAGCTGTGCTACTCCCTTTTATTCTATTGGCTTTTGAAAGCCAATAGAATAGACTCTCTTGACCGATTGAATAGTCCTCGACTTACGACCGGTTGGGGGTCGCGGCATTAAAAAGGTTGAGAACCACTGTGTTAGAGGATTGCCTCAATTTGAACAACAGGTTCAAACACACGTCAGAATACTTACTTCAGCACCATAACTAATTTCAGTGCTTTGACAGAAAGGGTACATTAACTTTTCTGTACTCAAATATTATATAGAGAGGATCATCTCTGAAGTAGCCTCATTGTCTGGACTACTTTAAAATAATTACTTTAAGGATTGCAGTCTTTAGTTTCCATGTGCAACATCATTTATTCTGACAGAGTTCATGATCTCTGTTAGCACCTTTGATTCTCTGCTCTGTTTCGGGCTAAATTGCTTTAGCTCAGTTATTATATACATGAACATAATCTCGTATCCATCAAACCAGGGTGACCTGTGAGGCAAAGGGCTCCCAATTAAGTATAAAATAGATTTAAGGTATCGTGATGAGCTTTAAAATTTCTCTGGGGTTTGTTTAAATTATCCATTGAATAAACACTGATGAAATAAGATATCATCTTTTATACAGATGGTATAATTTACTGGAAAGCTATTTAATGCAAGAGAAAAATATACAGGTAGTCCTCATTTAATGACCACTTGTTCAGTGACTATTCAATGTTATAATGGTCCTGAACGATGGGATTTATGACCAGATCTGGAAGTTGCAGTTGTCACAGTGTCCCTATGGTGACTTGATGGTAATTGAGGTGCTTGGCAACCAGCGCACAATTACAATGGTCCCATCATTTCCAATTTTTAATGCCAGCATCTAACAATTAAAGCCCTGTCATTGGAGAAGCCAGTGTTTCAAGTTATGGTCACATGACATTATACTTAACAATGGACTGCCATTATAGGTCAGTATGATGTTTTTTTTCAATTTCCAACCATGTTACTTAGCAACAAAACTGCCAGTCAAATTGTGGTCAGTAAGAGAGGACTACTGTGGCTTATTTGTGGCATTTTAGAGAGCAGTGGTGGCACAGTGGTTAGAATGTAGTATTGCAGACAAATACTGCTGACTGTCAGCAGTTCGATTCTCACCGCCTCAATGTTGACTCAGCCTTCCATCCTTCCAAGGTTGGTAAAATGAGGACCCCAGATTTTGGGGGGCAATAGGCTGACTCTATAAACCACTTAGAGAGGGCTACAAAGCACTGTGAAGTGGTATATCAGTTTAAATCAGTGGTTCTCAACCTGTGGGTCGGGTCCCCATTTCGGCTCGAACGACCATTTCACGGGGGTCGCCAAACAACGCAGTCCGCCATTTTTTTCCCCCTTTTCCTTAGCTGTGCTACTCCCTTTTATTCTATTGGCTTTTGAAAGCCAATAGAATAGACTCTCTTGAATAGAGTCTAATTCTATTGGCTTTCAAAAGCCAATAGGAATTGTCCAGGCTGTCTCTGCCCTGCTGAGCCCATCAAAAGTCCCATTCTGCAAACAATGCTGCACCAGTTGAGTAGTCCTCAACTTACGACCGGTTGAGTAGTCCTTGACTTATGACCGGTTGGGGTCGTGGCATTAAAAAGGTTGAGAACCACTGGTTTAAATGCTATTGCTATTTTATCAGCAGTAGGAAAAAAATAACTTATGGCAATGCAATATGATTTGAACATCTTTCCAAGTTCAGTTATGGATTTAGTATGCATATTCATCATCACTGCTTATACCCATTTGTAAATAAAACTATTATGGTATATAGGAGCAGGATCAGCAAAGTATATCTAGAATGGAAAATTCACCTGTATCATCCTTGTTAATGCCATGGCGATTTGTTAGGGGCGTTCCACAGAAAGTACTGTATATGGGGATATATCAGAGGCATACCCTCTTAGCAATTTGGAATCAAACTATTAAACACTTAAGTAATCAAAAACAGCTCCTTGGAACATATGTCAAAAGCAACAGCAAACTAGAAAAGATAAAGGAAAATCACTCCTTGGAAGAAAATGGATTTACTGAAGATTTTAGTTCTTCAGAACTGGAGAAGCTTCTTGGGTGAGAAGCAAAGTAAAAACAAAAGAAGTCCAGTTGCCTTTTGAAAAAGCACCTTTGAGACCAGAAAACCTCTTCTTCACCTTATCTTTGTGTGAATTAGGGAATTTGTCTGAGAAGTTTTCTCATGTTTTATTTTATTTTATTTTATTTTTAAAATTTATAAGCCGCCCCACTCCCGAAGGACTCTGGGCGGCTAACGATAAAAAACACATAAAACATAACAAACAACAATACAAAAACAATCATCCAGGGGTAAGGTTTTATAAACCCCAAGATGTTACTATCTTGCTGTTCTTTACTCCCTACTCCAAGTTGTGATGTCAATCATCTGCTATACATACAGTATATTTGCTGACGCTCTACTTAAACGTATGTATGTATGGTGTGTTTTATTAGTGTTGTGTGTCAGTATTGCATGATCTCTGTAGATGACATATGCTAAAAAAACAAGCCTATCTACCCAAAAGCTATTAATGCAGGGGGTCCTAGAGCATAACCCAAAAATAACAGAATAACAGAGTTGCAAGGGTTCTTCGAGGTCTTCTAGTCCAACCCTCGAGATCCTATACTATTCCAGGCTTTCTTTGGAGGCTTTATGGGATGGATACACGTGGCCATAGAAAGAACAGCAGAGTAACAGAACACAATAACAGAGCTGGAAGGAACCTTGGAGGTCTTCTAATCCAACCCCCTGCTCAAGCAGGAGACACTATAAGATTCCGGACAAGTGGCTGCCCAATCTCTTCTTAAAAAGGGTATGATCAAAGCTCTATCCAACAATTAACCAGTGGAACAACCTGCCTCCAGAAGTGGTGAATGCTCCTACATTGGAAGTTTTTAAGAAGAGACTGGACAGCCATTTGTCCGAAATGGTATAGGGCCGTGGTGGCAAACCTATGGCACGGGTGCCAGAGGCGGCACTCAGAGCCCTCTCTGTGGGCACACACGCCATTGCCCCAGTCCTAGGCCTTCACCTGGATTTTATAAAACCTTTTCGCTTTAGGCCTCCACCACTGTGTGCAAAAAAAAAAAGGTTCAATCAATCAATCAATTTCAACTTCTCACGGGAAAAAAAAGATCTCGCAAAGTTGGAATTGATTGATTGAATTTTTTAGTCCCACCCAGTCTGCCATTATCATCGCAGCCACGCTCACCCAATGGGCCACGCCCACCCGGCACCCGACAATACATAAGTGGGTTTTGGGTTGCAGTTTGGGCACTTGGTCTCTAAAAGGTTCGCCATCACTGGTCTAGGGTTTCCTGCCTGAGCAGGGGATTGGACTAGATGACCTCCAAGATCCCTCCCAATATTATTATTATTATTATTATTATTATTATTATTATTATTATTATTATTATTATTATTATTATTATTATTATCTCGTCTCTATTCATTTTTTATGTGTGCTGCATTTATAAGATTAATTACACTTTAGGGAAATCTCTGCTCTGATCCTCTGATCATCTCATGCTTGTGGCAATAATTCTGAAGTTGCTTAAAAAGCAGCAGTTTTTGTTCTTCTTACCCGCATCCCTTCAAATCGAGACAAGGCTCTTAGTGGTCGCAAAGCTCGCAACGTACGGAGAGATTTCATGGAGCTCACATCTGATTTTCCAAGCAAAGGTGCTATAAGAGTTATCAAGGAGATCTAAAACAGAAAGTAGGAAGATTAATTTCAAGGCATTACTTTAAATACCATGCATTTTGCCTCCTCCTGTGCTAAAAATACACCAGCCAATTAATTTTCTGCGTAACTTTTAAAAGAGGGCATCATGAAATGGTACAATAGGATTTGACTTTACAAAAATTTGGAGAATGGACCAGTGAGAGATTATCTAGTATTTCTCTAACCTTGTACTAGTAATTTAGCATGAATATTCCGATTTGTAAGTATTCTGCTGTACAGATAAATTTCAACTTTCGACCACAATTATTTCTGTTGTTGAGCAAGATTGTTAAGTCTTACACAATTTTTTTAGCCATGATTATTAAGAAAAAAAAACTGCAGTTGTTGTGAATAATGTGGTTGTTAAGCAACTCCAGCTTTCCCCATTGAGTTTGCTTGTCAAAAGCTGACTGGAAAGATCACAAATGGTGATCACCTGATCCCTGGGACATTGCAACCATGAGAAATATGTACTGGTTGCCAAGCACCCAATGTCAAGTTTCGAAGCATGTTTTTTTTCCTGCTGCAACAGTTATTGCTTCTCAGCTTGCCAATGAACTCAGAGGGGAGGGAATCAGATTGGAATGCAGATTTCAAAGATTAAGGAAGTGGACCATGGGAACCAAGGACATTTACCAGGTGTCTGGCCAGACCTGGAGATACTTTCTCATAACAATATTGCTGCATCTAATTGGGCATTGTGACCTAATCCAGAGGGAGGAGAGAGAATTCTATGCTTTCATTATGTAGGGCTTGGGTGGGTTTTTGCCAGAGCTGGTTTTGCTTTGATCAGTGCGGAAATAATGTACTCAATAAAGTTTTACATTAAGAGATCGGAATGTCTCAAAGGTTTTTGCTTGGTTGGGTTTGTCAGCCGGAACCCTGTCACCCACATTTTGATTGTGTGACAATAGTTCTAGGTGTAAAGATTGGTTGTAACTTATTTCCAGTGCTCTTATAACTTTGAACAGTTACTAAACAAATGATTGTAAGTCAAGGGGCATTTGTATTCTACTACCCAGTTGGTCAGCTTTTTCATGTTTGATCTCCAACAGTCCAGATCCATAAAATAGGTGAAAGATGTCCTAATCTCAAGCTTGGCTTGAGTAGTTTCAGTGGAGAATTCAGCCAAGCGTCCATATTAATGAATTATTGTTAATTGCGAAGTCGTGTCCAACCCATCACGACCCCATGGACAATGTTCCTCCAGGTCTTCCTGTCCTCTACCATCTTCTGGAGTCCATTTAAGCTCAGACCTCCTGCTTCAGTGACTCCATCCAGCCATCTCATTCTCTGTCGTCCCCTTCTTCTATTGCCCTCCATCTTTCCCAGCATTAGGCCCTTCTCCAGTGAGTCCTTCCTTCTCATTAGGTGGCCAAAGTACTTGAGTTTCAACTTCAGGATCTGGCCTTCTAAAGAGCAGTCGGGGTTGATCTCTTTTAGGACTGACCGGTTTGAACGCCTTTCAGTCCAAGGGACTCGCAGGAGTCTTCTCCAGCACCAGAGTTCAAAGGCCTCCATTCTTTGGCGCTCAGCCTTTCTTATGGTCCAACTTCCATGGCATAGCTTTCATAACTTTCACGGCATAGCTCATAGCTTCATTGAGTTATGCAAGCCCCTTCACACAGGTTATGTAGAAAGGAAACACAGGGCCACCCACAAAGGACTCAAATGTTTATACACCAATGCACAGAGTATGAACAGCAAACAGGGTGAACTAGAAATTCAGGTTAATGAGGGCAGATACGATATTGTTGCCATTACGGAAACATGGTGGGATGAAACTCACACATGGAACACACAGCTAGAGGGATTTAAATTATTTAAAAGAAACAGACCAAATAAAAGAGGAGGTGGAGTTGCTCTCTGTATAAGAAATAACTACATCTCCACAGAAATAGAGTACAACAATGATAAAAACTGTCTTGAATGCATTTGGGTCAATATAAAAGGGGGGGGAAATGACATTGCCATAGGTGTATACTACAGACCACCCAACCAAACAGAGGACATAGATGAACTTTTTGCTAGTCAGCTAACTAAGGTATGTAGGAAGCACATCACAATAGTAATGGGGGACTTTAACTACTCTGACATCAACTGGGAGACAAACTCCGCACCAAGTGGAAGATCAAACAGGTTCCTGGCAAACCTAGCAGACACTTTGTCTCCCAAAAAGTAGAGAAGGGAACTAGGGGATTAGCCATCTTGGATCTAATTCTCACTAACAGAGATGAAATGATAGACGGTGTTGGAGCCATAGGAACCCTGGGAGGAAGTGATCATGCAATATTAGAATTCAACATTATAGAAGCACAACCAATAGAACACAGTCAAACTAGAGTCTTGGACTTCAAGAGAGCTAATTTCAATAACCTTAGAGAGGGCTTGGGAAGGATTCCATGGATGAGAATCCTCAAGGGGAAAACAACTCAAGAAGCTTGGGAAATTTTGAAAAATGAGATAATAAAAGCACAGTCTAGCACAATACCAACAAAGAGGAAAAATAACAGCTCTCAAAAGAAACCAGCATGGCTGCATAAAGCACTCTCTGACAAATTGAAAGATAAAAAGGACAAGTATCGAAAGTGGAAAGAGGGGAACATAACTAAGTCAGAATATCAGCAAATAGCCCGAGCCTGCAAAGATGAAGTGAAGAAAGCCAAGGCTCAAAATGAACTGAGGCTTGCGACCAAAGTCAAAAATAACAAAAAAAGCTTCTTTCAACATGTAAAAAACAAGAAAAAAGTGAAGGAAATGATTGGTCCATTAGTGGGTGGAAGTGGCACGAAGGTGACAAGCACCAGGGAGAAAGCAGAACTATTTAACTCATTTTTTGCATCTGTCTTTACACAAAGGGAAAAAACAGACCAACCTATCAAAAATAGTGCCACAAAAAACAAAACAGAAACACAAGTTAAGATAGGCAAGAAAATCGTTAGTGAGCACCTGTCCAGCCTAGATGAGTTCAAATCGCCAGGACCAGATGGATTACACCCCAGAGTTCTCAAGGAACTGGCAGATGTGATATTGGAGCCACTGAACTATATTTTTCAAAGATCCTGGAACACAGAGGAACTACCAGAGGACTGGAAAAGAGCTGATGTAGTTCCCATCCTCAAAAAAGGAAAAAAAATGGATCCAGGAAATTACAGACCTATCAGCCTGACCTCAATACCTGGGAAGATCCTGGAAAAGATAATCAAACAACGAATCAACGAACACCTAGAGGCAAACAAAGTCATTACTAAAAGCCAACATGGGTTTGTCAAAAATAGATCATGCCAGACAATCTTATTGCATTCTTTGACCAAGTGACAAAATTAGTGGATCAGAGGAATGCTGTGGACATAATTTACTTGGACTTCAGTAAGGCATTTGATAAAGTAGATCACAACCTACTACTTGACAAGATCGAAAAATGTGGGGTAGACAGAACCACCACCAGATGGATCCGTAGCTGGCTGACCGGCCGTACTCAGCGAGTGGTCCTCAATGGAACTGAATCTATATGGAGGGAAGTGTGTAGTGGGGTGCCCCAGGGCTCTGTTCTGGGCCCAGTACTCTTCAACATCTTCATCAACGATTTGGATGAAGGGATAGATGGGGAACTCATCAAATTTGCAGATGACACCAAGCTGGCAGGAATAGCCAACACTCCAGAAGACAGGCTTCAGAGACAGAAGGATCTGGACAGACTTGAACACTGGGCACTAACTAACAAAATGAAATTCAATGGTGAAAAAAGCAAGGTTCTACATTTAGGCAAGAAAAACCAAATGCACAAGTACAGCATAGGTGGCACCATGCTCAATAGTAGTAACTGTGAGAGGGACCTCGGAGTCCTAGTAGACAATCACTTAAATATGAGCCATCAGTGTGCTGCAGCTGCCAAAAAGGCCAACACAGTGCTAGGCTGCATTAACAGAGGGATAGAATCAAGATCACGTGAAGTATTAATACCACTCTTCAATGCCTTGGTAAGGCCACACTTGGAATACTGCATCCAGTTTTGGTCACCACGATGTAAAAAAGATGTTGAGACTCTAGAAAGAGTACAGAGAAGAGCAACAAAGATGATTAGGGGACTGGAGTCTAAAACATATAAGGAACGGTTGCTAGAATTGGGTATGTCTAGTTTAACGAAGAGAAGGACAAGGGGGGACATGATAGCAGTATTCCAATATCTCAGGGCTGCCATAAAGAAGAGGGAATCAAGCTATTTTCCAAAGCACCTGAAGGCAGAACAAGAAGCAACGGGTGGAAACTAATCAAGGAGAGAAGCAACCTAGAACTAAGGAGAAACTTCCTGACAGTGAGAACCATTAACCAGTGGAACAACCTGCCTCCAGAAGTGGTGAATGCTCCAACACTGGAAGTTTTTAAGAAGAGACTGGACAGCCATTTGTCCGAAATGGTGTAGGGTTTCCTGCCCGAGCAGGGGGTTGGACTAGATGACCTCCAAGGTCCCTTCCAACTTTACTACTATTGCTATTACTATTACCATGACAAGGCAGTAATCCATGATATTAATGAATAAGTGATCAGAATTCACAGTTCTGTTCTCCTGGTTGGAATTTGAATCATCCTGGGCCCCGTAGCCAAAGAAAGAACCAGATTCTTAGAGTCTTTCTGAAAGTCAGGAGAGTGGGGGCAAGTTCCTTCCAGGGATGAGGTGCTACAGTGGAAGAGATGTGCCTCCTGGATCCCACCAGATGGCGCTCTTCCTCCTTCCTTCACTCAGAAATCGTTTTGTACAGTACTATTTTATACAACTCAATCACTCTCAGCCACTTGCCTTTCTTCAAATTTAAGCAGTCCCAAACTGTAAAAATGTTCCTTCTCCTTCTTCTCCTCCTCCTCCTCGCCTCCCCTCCTCTCCCTCTTCCTCCCCCTCCCCTTCTTTTTCTACAATTATTGAAGTAAAACATGTTTTATCTAATGTCAGAATTTCATCAGAGACCATTGGATCTTTTCAGGGAATGAGCTGCAGAGAAGTTTTAAAAAGGAAGACATTTTGTACATTCTCAGCCAAAGTTAAAAGCTGGCCCATAAGAAACACTTAAATGAGTAGGTCAATACATCTTTGTCGTGGTCGTCGTCCTCCTCTCAAACTATACAAAGAATTTCACACAAGGTTGCATCATAGATGTATATCAGGGCATTACAATCTGGGTAATTTTATTGCTGATCCCTTTTCATCCATCCCATGAAATTATCTTTTTTCCAGGTCTATGCTCTGAGTGCCTTAAGCATATGCTGTGCTTTAGCATGAATACATTTGCCATCTAAGCCAAAACCTTTGCTGTGTTGTCTCCATTGTGCCAGTTGATTTTGGCAATCAACTCATGCTCACTTGGAAAATCAATGAGATCCATTCTGTTTCAGCTGCAATACTTACATCTACAATCAAAAAATCAAGCCAGCACCAAGCGTTGGTGAAGTATTTCTGGAATCCATAAGCCACCCATTTCAGCAGCATCTCTAAGACAAATATGTAGGTGAAGATTTTGTCAGCATAGTCCAGCATGGTTTTAATATTCTGTCTTTTGCTCAAGTAAATGTCTTCAAATGCCTGAGATAAGAATGAACATATTATTACATTTGTAGAATATTATTACACTGAAGGGATTTTATTGTGCTTATGATTTTAGTATGTTTAAGTTTGACATTAGCATTTATTTTATATATAGTGACCATTTTATATTGATACTTATAGTGTTATCGTGTAATCATTGTTTTGTTATTTTGTCATCATTATTTTGTAGTTAATTGCTTGATCAGATGCTTAATTGCTTGATCAGATGCTTTATATATATATATTGGAAAAGTAAGGGCTTCATGCTTTAGGTATAGGTGATTGCTTATATGAAAAGAACACAGTAAGGGGAGGGGGAAAAGGAGTTACGGATGAAGCCTGGGTTGCTGTGTATGAATCATCATCTAGGAATTATTTTTTTGTGCCCTCTTATGCCTAGTACCAAGACCTGATCTCTTTGTTCTGAAAAGGCATAAAAGGTGGAAGACATCTTTTCTGGTTGTTGTCTTCATCTCTCTACCAGCCACGAAGAGAGATGGGGTCACCCAACTCTGTTTTGATCAAAATAAAAGTTGTTTGCTTGCTGAAACCTCGGCTCAGGAGTGTCTTTGGCTCTTTTAAATTCCTGAGTAATGCTGGGGCAATTGTGAGGCTAAGTGGAAAACCTTACATCCTGGCGCCTAACGTGGTGGTAGCCACAATGGCTCTGCCCCCACATCTGGAGACCCCTGTTAAGGTCCCAGCGATCTTTCAATTCTCAGCAGGATGAAACCAGCGACAATTGAATTATCTCCCTCTCCTTTTCCTTCTCCCTCTCCCCCTTCCTCCCTTTCCCTTTCTATCCTCCTCTTCCTCTTCCACTCCTTCTTCCTTTCTCTCTCTCTCTCCCTCTTTCTCTCTCTCCCCTCCCCTCTTCCCCCTCTCTCTCCCTCCCTCTTCCTTCTCTCCTTCCCCCCTCTCCCTTTCTCTCTCTCCCTCTCTCTTCCCCCTCTATCCCCTTCTCCATATCTCTCTCTCTCTCTCTTCCCCCTCTCCCCTTCTCCCTCTCTCCCTCTCTTCCCTCTCTCCTTCCCCCCTCTCCCTTTCTCTCTCTCCCTCTCTCTTCCCCCTCTCTCCCCTTCTCCATCTCTCTCTCTCTCTTTCTCCATCTCTCTCTCTCTCTTCCCCCTCTCCCCTTCTCCCTCTCTCTCCCTCTCTTCCCTCTCTCCTTCCCCCCTCTCCCTTTCTCTCTCTCCCTCTCTCTTCCCCCTCTCTCCCCTTCTCTGTCTCTCTCTCTCCCTCTCTTCCCTCTCTCCTTCCCCCTTCTCCCTTTCTCTCTCTCCCTCTCTCTTCCCCCTCTCTCCCCTTCTCCGTCTCTCTCTCTCTCTTCCCCCTCTCTCCCCTTCTCCCTCTCTCTCTCTCTTCCCCCTCTCCCCTTCTCCCTCTCTCTCCCTCTCTTCCCCCTCTCCCCTTCTCCCTCTCTCTCCCTCTCTTCCCTCTCTCCTTCCCCCTTCTCCCTTTCTCTCTCTCCCTCTCTCTTCCCCCTCTCTCCCCTTCTCCGTCTCTCTCTCTCTCTTCCCCCTCTCTCCCCTTCTCCCTCTCTCTCTCTCTTCCCCCTCTCCCCTTCTCCCTCTCTCTCCCTCTCTTCCCCCTCTCCCCTTCTCCCTCTCTCTCCCTCTCTTCCCTCTCTCCTTCCCCCCTCTCCCTTTCTCTCTCTCCCTCTCTCTTCCCCCTCTCTCCCCTTCTCTGTCTCTCTCTCTCCCTCTCTTCCCTCTCTCCTTCCCCCTTCTCCCTTTCTCTCTCTCCCTCTCTCTTCCCCCTCTCTCCCCTTCTCCGTCTCTCTCTCTCTCTTCCCCCTCTCTCCCCTTCTCCCTCTCTCTCTCTCTTCCCCCTCTCCCCTTCTCCCTCTCTCTCCCTCTCTTCCCCCTCTCCCCTTCTCCCTCTCTCTCCCTCTCTTCCCTCTCTCCTTCCCCCCTCTCCCTTTCTCTCTCTCCCTCTCTCTTCCCCCTCTCTCCCCTTCTCTGTCTCTCTCTCTCCCTTCCCCCTCTCTCCCCTTCTCCCTCTCTCTCTTCCCCCTCTCCCCTTCTCCCTCTCTCTCCCTCTCTTCCCCCTCTCCCCTTCTCCCTCTCTCTCCCTCTCTTCCCTCTCTCCTTCCCCCTTCTCCCTTTCTCTCTCTCCCTCTCTCTTCCCCCTCTCTCCCCTTCTCCGTCTCTCTCTCTCTCTTCCCCCTCTCTCCCCTTCTCCCTCTCTCTCTCTCTTCCCCCTCTCCCCTTCTCCCTCTCTCTCCCTCTCTTCCCCCTCTCCCCTTCTCCCTCTCTCTCCCTCTCTTCCCTCTCTCCTTCCCCCCTCTCCCTTTCTCTCTCTCCCTCTCTCTTCCCCCTCTCTCCCCTTCTCTGTCTCTCTCTCTCCCTTCCCCCTCTCTCCCCTTCTCCCTCTCTCTCTTCCCCCTCTCCCCTTCTCCCTCTCTCTCCCTCTCTTCCCCCTCTCCCCTTCTCCCTCTCTCTCCCTCTCTTCCCTCTCTCCTTCCCCCTTCTCCCTTTCTCTCTCTCCCTCTCTTCCCCCTCTCTCCCCTTCTCCGTCTCTCTCTCTCTCTTCCCCCTCTCTCCCCTTCTCCCTCTCTCTCTCTCTTCCCCCTCTCCCCTTCTCCCTCTCTCTCCCTCTCTTCCCCCTCTCCCCTTCTCCCTCTCTCTCCCTCTCTTCCCTCTCTCCTTCCCCCTTCTCCCTTTCTCTCTCTCCCTCTCTCTTCCCCCTCTCTCCCCTTCTCCGTCTCTCTCTCTCTCTTCCCCCTCTCTCCCCTTCTCCCTCTCTCTCTCTCTTCCCCCTCTCCCCTTCTCCCTCTCTCTCCCTCTCTTCCCCCTCTCCCCTTCTCCCTCTCTCTCCCTCTCTTCCCTCTCTCCTTCCCCCCTCTCCCTTTCTCTCTCTCCCTCTCTCTTCCCCCTCTCTCCCCTTCTCTGTCTCTCTCTCTCCCTCTCTTCCCTCTCTCCTTCCCCCTTCTCCCTTTCTCTCTCTCCCTCTCTCTTCCCCCTCTCTCCCCTTCTCCGTCTCTCTCTCTCTCTTCCCCCTCTCTCCCCTTCTCCCTCTCTCTCTCTCTTCCCCCTCTCCCCTTCTCCCTCTCTCTCCCTCTCTTCCCCCTCTCCCCTTCTCCCTCTCTCTCCCTCTCTTCCCTCTCTCCTTCCCCCTTCTCCCTTTCTCTCTCTCCCTCTCTCTTCCCCCTCTCTCCCCTTCTCCCTCCCTCTCTCTCCCTCTCTCCCTCTCTCTCCCTCTCTCTCTCTCTCTCTCTCTCTCTCACACATGCACACACACACACACAGAGAGAGAGAGAGGCATACACACATATCCACAGGCACACAACATATACATGCTGATGGAACATTAGACATAATACAAGGAAGGCATAGCAAATATAAATGGAAAACTCATGAAAAAAATCAGGGTAAAAAAAAGGGTCTGTCAAACTTCTTACTTTTTTTTTTTAATAAACCTCCTTTATTATGCTTTCCTCTGACCACAGCATTTTTTCTCTTTTCTGTTGCTTTAGCTACCACTTTAACTCACTTTCCTTTCCCATTCTATCTCTCAATGTTCTCAGGCCACTAAGAATTTCATTTTTTTCCTCCATTGACAATTAATAAGATGCTGAAGCAAATCCTGAACGCTGATGAAATGAAAAAAGTTCATTTTGATATGATGGTGCCTTCAAATTAGCGAAAGTACAAAAACCTCAAAACTAATCAGATTTAAAAGCAGACTATGGAGGAGGCAAGTATATAAGTGGCTTTCCATGAAAACCTAATTAGACATTCAGCCAGATCCCCAAAACAATGAGTTTTGTTTTGAAAGAATCATAAAATGGGTAGATCAGTGACGGATCAGATTTTTAACCCAGCTCCTTTTGTTGTCAGGCAGTCCTCAACTTATGACTACAAGTGAGCTCAAAATTTATGTTGCTAAAAGGAGATAGTTGTTAAGTGGATTTTGTCCCATTTTATGACCTTTCTTGCCACAGTTTTTAAGTGAATCCCTGCAGTTTTAAAGTGAGTAACACAGTTGTTAAGTGAATCTGGCTTCCCCTTTGACTTTGCTAGTACAAGGATCACAAAAGGGGATCATATGATCTTGGGACATTGCATCCATCAAAAATATGAGTCAGTTGCCAAGCGTCTAAGTTTTGATCACATGGCCATGGGGATATTGCAATGTGTGAAAAAAGTTGTAAGTCACTTTTTCCAGTGATGACATAACTTTGATCGATTACTAAACAAAATGTTGTCTACACTGATGTTTCTCAGTTTCAGCACCTTTAAGATGCATGGACTTCAAATCCCAGAATTTCTCAGCTAGCCAGCTGGCTGGGGAATTGTGGGAGTTGAAGTCCAGGTATTTAAAGCTGTCAAGGTTGAGAAACCAGATTCTACATTATTCCTTACTGGAAATGACAATGTACTTTCATTTCTTCTGCTTCATTTAATGTTAAAGGAAAAACAATTTACACATACCAGCGCTCCACTACTCAGCAAAATCATGAACACAATGAAGCTTTCAAACCAGTTGTGTTCCACAATTTGGTAACATGTCTTTCTTAAATTCCACCAGGTTTTCCCTGGAAACTTAGTAGTATTCACTGAACACCAAGGATAACGGTGAACGCATCCTGAAAGAGACATTAAAGTCACAATGTAAAATTAATGCACAAAGACAATTCCCATGAACAGGTTAAATATATATATATATTAGTTCTGCATCCTGTCTTTCAAGATGCTTGATGAATCTCTCTGAGAAGACACCACTAATCCAGTTGGCCATTCTGTCTGGGATGATGAAAAGTTTAGACCATCCTTTCTGGATGAAGAAATTTTCAAAATGTTCAAAAGCAATTGTAACTTGAATTGATCGAGGAGAGGAAAAATTGATAAAATTCATAAAAGTACGGGTGGTCCTTGACTTACAACTACAACTGAGCCCAAAATTTCCATTGCTAAGCAAGACAGTTGTTAAGTGAGTTTTGCCCCATTTATGACATTTTTGCCACATTTATTAAGTAAAGGATGTGATCCTTAACGAATCTGGTTTCTACCATTGATTTTGTTATTGGAAGCTGGTTGTGAAAGCTGCAAATGACTCCGGGACTTTTTTTCAGTGCCTTTGTAACTTCAAATGGACATTATACAAATGGTTATAATATATATATTGCTATTATATATTACACATAATATATATATATAATAAAGTTGGAAGGGACCTTGGAGGTCATCGAGTCCAACCCCCTGCTCAGGCAGGAAACCCTACACCATTTCAGACAAATGGCTGTCCTTAAAATCTTCCAGTGTTGGAGCATTCACCGCTTCTAGAGGCAGGTTGTTCCACTGGTTAATTGTTCTAACAGTCAGGAAGTTTCTCCTTAGTTCCAGGTTGCTTCTCTCCTTGATTAGTTTCTATCCATTGCTTCTTGTCCTGCCTTCAGGTGCTTTGGAGAATAGAATCATAGAATAACAGAATTGGAAGGGACCTTGGAGGTCATCTAGTCCAACCCCCTGCTCAGGCAGGAAACCCTACACCATTTCAGAAAGATGGCTGTCCAGTTTCTTCTTAAAAACTTCCAGTGTTGGAGCATTCACCGCTTCTGGAGGCAGGTTGTTCCACTGGTTAATTGTTCTAACTCTCAGGAAGTTTCTCCTTAATTCTAGGTTGCTTCTCTCCTTGATTAGTTTCCATCCATTGCTTCTTGTCCTGCCCTCAGGCACTTTGGAGAATAGCTTGACTCCCTCTTTTTTCTGGCAGCCCCTGAGATACTGGAACACTGCTATCATGTCCCCCTCATCCTTCTCTTCATTAAACCAGACATACCCAATTCCAGCAGCCTTTCCTTATATGCTTTAGCCTCCAGTCCCCTATTCATCTTTCTTGTTCTTCTCTGTACTCTTTCTAGAGTCTCAGCATCTTTTTTACATCGTGGTGACCAAAACTGGATGCAGTATTCCAAGTGTGGCCTTACCAAGGCATTGTAAAGCGGTATTAATACTTCACGTGATCTTGATTCTATCCCTCTGTTAATGCAGCCCAGCACTATGTTGGCTTTTTTGGCAGTTGCAGCACACTGCTGGCTCATATTTAAATGATTGTCCACTAGGACTCCTAGATCCCTAGAATGCAATAAGGTTTGTCTGGCATGATCTGTTTTTAACAAACCCGTGTTGGCTTTTAATAATGACTTTGTTTGCCTGTAGGTGTTCACTGATTCATTGTTTGATTAATCTTTTCCAGAATCTTCCCAGGTATTGAGGTCAGGCTGATAGGTCTGTAATTTCCTGGATCCATTTTTTTTTCCTTTTTTGAAGATGGGAACTACATCAGCTCTTTTCCACTCCTCAGGTAGTTCCCCAGTGCTCCAAGATCTTTGAAAAATATAGTTCAGTGGTTCTAAGATCACATCTGCCAGTTCCTTGAGAACCCTGGGGTGTAATCCATCTGATCCTGGTGATTTGAACTCGTCTAGGCTGGACAGGTGCTCACTTACCATTTTCTTGCCTATCTTAACCTGTGTTTCTATACTGTTTTTATGGCACTGTTTTTGATAGGTTGGTCTGTTTTTTCCCTTTGTGTAAAGACAGATGCAATAAATGAGTTAAATAGTTCTGCTTTCTCCCTATTGCTTGTCACCTTCTTGCCACTTTCGCCCACTAATGGACCAATCATTTCCTTCACTTTTTTCTTGTTTTTTTACATGTTGAAAGACACCTTACTATACCTTACTATAACAACAAAAGTTGTACAAAATCAATTATTTATCTTCAGGAAAGTTGATTAGATGGAAAAAAAAGTGGGGAAAAATAGATTGGTGATATACCTATGACAGGGGTAGGCAACCTTGGCTCTTTTATGACTGGTGGACTTCAACTCCCAGAATGCCTGAGCCAGCCATGCTGAGAGGAAAGGCAGAGGTTTCCAAGCTGAGCCATGCTGGCTCAGGAATTCTGGGAGTTGAAGTCCACAACTCATAAAAGAGCCAAGGTGGCCTACCCATGGACTACGAGCTTAAGTCATCCCAAAGTGCTTTTTCAAGAGGCAACGAGAGTTGTTTTTTCTTTTTCCTTGAAGACATTTTGCTTCTCATCCAAGAAGCTTCTTCAGCACTGTCTTCAAGGAAAAAGAAAAAAAATCCAGTTGCTTTTGAAAAAACACTTTAGTGACAGCCATGATCTGGATGATCAAGAGTCTCCATAGATATCTACCAACGGAGAAGCATGTAAATTGAGTCAAGGACTAAATAGTGTTAAGATGTATTAAAGCAGACATGTCAAACACAAGGCCCGGGGGCCAGATACGGCCCTCAAAGTGGTTCCATGTGGCCCGCGAAACCATCCTGGAAACAGTGAGGGAACGGCCCCTGCTACCCTGGCCTGGGCCCAGGCCAGCCAGGAGCCAATGTACAATTTTGTGGTGGCCATCTTGGCACTTGCCCTGGTTCACCATGCCTTGGCACTTGCCCTGGTCCCACCCCCTTCTGCCAGAGACCCTCAGATCTGTCCCACTCCTGCCCAGGCCCCCACAGGCACCCTTAACGCAAAAGATGTAGAATTGGCCACGCCCAACCAGTAGGCCACATCCACTCCATCCAGTAGGCTGCACCCACTCTGGCCACATCCACCTGGCCCCCCAAGGCCAACCGCAATGCTGATGCGGCCCTCAGTGAAATTGAGTCTGACACTCCTGTATTAAAGACTTGTTGAAAAGAAGCAAGTCAGTTGCTATCAATTTTCAAGTTTTAAAGTTCTGACATTTAAGATGCATGGATTGAGATCTGTTTGAGTATTAGTTGAAGATGCATGGATCTTTGGACTGTTAAAAGAGAAATCAGCTGGGCAGTCCTTGAAGAAAATTGTATACAGTTTTCAAAGAACCATACTTTAAAAGAAATTCAGAGTGGACCGTTTTGGTGATGCTTTGATATGTCTGTGAGTCCATATATCAAAATCTGCATGGTGATGGATATGGTGTCACGAAGCCTTGCTCCTTAAATGTAGGTAGACCATCATGATAATCACAGAATGTGTTGTCATGTGACCAGATTTGTTTTTACGATTTTTTTTTTTGCAGAGGTCACTAACACCACAGACCTAAAGTGACCGCCACAGTAGCTAACTGAATGTTGCAGTCATTAAAGGAACCAATTATTTGCTATCAGGAGTCTTTTGGCAAAAAATGGAAGTAAATGCCAATATTGTAAAACATAGTCACATAACCGTGGGGCATTACAAATAGGTATAAATCTGGGCCAGTTATCAAATACCTGAAATGTGGTCTTGTTACTGGCAGGGGGGAGAGTCATCAGAACTTCAGAACTGGGTTGTAAGCACCCAGAAAGGTTTGTTTTAACCTCAAAAATTGCAGGCATCCAGTCATAAGCTGACTACTGTACATCTGCAGATACATGAGGGGATGACACTTCAATTACAAATGACACTTCAATTACAGATGGTCACCATCTGGTAGATTCTGACACACAGACTCACAGATATCTCTGGGGACAACCTGGTGTTTATAAAATCATATAAATCTTCAAGGGGCTCCTTACTTTCTGGGAAACAATTGCCTGGCTGCTTGAAATCCTCATCAAGCTCGAAGATGTTCTTCAGGAAGTCATCTGGGTCTATCAGATCCACAGTGCTGCCTTCTGAACAGCTGGTAGAGTCTGCAATCTACAAAACAAAAAAGACAGGCCAGATATTTCCACAGGATCAGCTGTCCCTTGGCATTCCTGGAGTAAATGCTGAGAGAAGACACCACCATTTTTTTTAAACATGGAGTTGGGGTTCTGCATGATCTGAACTCAAATGGCAAAAGTAATTTGAAGAATACAACACTAATTCAAACCAGATGTGTTCTTTTCTCAAAGGCCATTACTGGATCACAGAATACACCCATGGGTGGGTGTTAAACAGATTTTGATCTCTGCATATTCCTAGTTCTAACAGGTAGTCCTTGATTTACAAGAATTCATTTAGTGATCGTTCCAAGTTACAATGGCACTGAAAAAAGAGACTTGTGATTGTTTTTCACACTTACAGCCGTTGCAACATCCCTGTGATCATGTGATCAGAATTCGGATGCTTGGTAATCAACACTCCTATTTATGATGGTTTCAGTGTCCCAGAGTCACGTGATCTCCTTTTGTGATCTTCTGACAAACGAAGTCAATGAGGAAGTCAGCTTCACTTAACAACTGTGTTACTAATTTGAGAACTGCAGGGATTCAATTAGCTACTGTAGCAAGAAAAGGAAAGTAAAATGGGGCAAAATTCACTTAATCGCTGTCTCAACCTGGTAACAGGGGTTTTGGGCTCAATTCTGGTCATATGTTGAGGGTAAGTGCGAAAAATTGTCATATGCCAGTTTTTTCAGTGCTGTTGTAACTTCGAACAGTCACTCAAAGAACTGTTATAAGTTGAGGACGTACAGATAGATAAGCTGGGCTGAGAAAGATTGAGCAGCTATGTTCCCCGGAGAATTCCCATATGGGAGGGTGAAAGATTAGGTCCACACATATGAAGGGCCAATTAAACAGATTTAAGCCTATGCCTAGGAATCTTCTCAGCACGAAGAGGGAGTCAAGCTATTTTCCAAGGCGCCTGAAGGCAGGACAAGAAGCAACGGATGGAAACTAACCAAGGAGAGAAGCAACCTAGAACTAAGGAGGAATTTCCTGACAGAACAATTAATCAGTGGAACAATCTGCCTCCAGAAGCGGTGAAAGCTCCAACACTGGAAGTTTTCAAGAAGAGACTGGACAGCCATTTGTCTGAAATAATATAAGGTTTCCTGCCTGAGCAGGGGGTTGAACTAGATGACCTCCAAGGTCCCTTCCAACTTTATCATTATTATTATTATTACTAAAAGAGATTGTGTATAGCTCAGAATTGAATTGAGGGGTCCTTATTATTATAGATCATCACACAGTCAGCCAGATGTTCAGACTGGATTTGGCATTTTGTCTATCTATCGAGTCCTTACCCAGGACCTGGGATAGGCAGATGTGGATGTTTGATGGTATTACAGGTATCGTCGCAGGATGGAAGCAGTTCTTAGTAAGGCCGCCTTTTGCAATTGACTAATAGAGAATTTGTCAATGCCAATTGTGTTCAAGTGGTGCTCCAGTTGTTTGGGGATTGCACCTAAGGAGCCTATTGGTACTACCCTTGCTTGCTTTTGCCACAGTCTTTCTATTTCTATTTGTAGGTCTTTGTATTTTGTTATCTTCTCCAGTTCTTTCTCGTCTATTCTGTTGTTATTGTTGTTGTTGTTGTTATTATTATTATTATTAATCATCGCACAGTCAGCCAGGTGTTCAGACTGGATTTGGCATTTTTGTCTACCTATCGAGTCCTTACCCAGGACCTGGAATAGGCAGATATGGATGTTTGATGGTATTACAGATATCGTCACAGGATGGAAGCAATTCCTAGTAAGGCCGCCTTTTGCAATTGACTAATGGCGAATTTGTCAATGCCAATGGTGTTCAGGTGATGGTATTATTATTATTATTATTATTATTATTATTATTATCATTATTATTATTATTATTATTACTATTATATGGAATTCAAGGGAGTTTGGACTTTGTCCCTGAGTGGCTATGCTCAACTGTAGGCACCCCGCCCCACGTTCTGCACTTCTTCTCCTACACCTGAACTTCACCCATATATCACTTTGGCAACATTTTTCTTGGCTGTAGATTGGGGAGTGGTATTTACCTCTTTTTCCTTAGACAGCGAGGATCTGACTTTCCCTTTGGGAATAGAAATTTCTGACATCCGGTTCCAGACTTCGCAGCTTTTGGCCTTTTCTCCCCTCAAGCGCAACTGGTTTTCTTGCTGAAAATCATAATAGCTGGGATTCAAAATGAGTTTGCTAAGCGCTGGTTGCCTTGGCTACCAATATAGCAGCCACAATCACATGATCCAGGCCTCACCTCCTTTTTGCGGGTGCCAACCCTACAGAGTATAAAAATCAGGATTCTGGCTAAATTTATTTATCTTCTTTTCCATGTACAAGCAGTCCTCAACTTACAAGCATTTGTTTAGTAACCATTTGAAGTTACAACAGCACTGAAAAAGTGACGTACGAGCATTTTTCATGCTTACAACTGTTTCAGCATCCCCAAGGTCACATGAACAAAATTCATAGGCTTGGCAACTGGCATGTATTTACAACGGTTGCAATGTCCTGGGACCACATTTTGCAACCTTCCGACAAACAAAGTCAATGGGGAAGCAGGCTTCCGGTGGATCTGCGCGCGCGATGGTGGCTACTTTGTAGCCGTCCTCCTGGGAAAGTATCAGAACTGCTATGAACAGCGGACATCAGCTGTTCTGCGGTTCAAAACCTCCCTCCCGGGCAAAGGGAGGGAGGAGAGGATCGTCTGAATAGTGGTTGAGCCTCTTATGCACCCTCAAGGTTTTCTTTTGGGGGGTGAAAAGAGTGCTCCCACGGAGTTCGGACTGTCTCCACTTCCCAGCTGTTTTTGTCTCCAGGGACAAAACAAGCCACGATTAAAGTGATCTGGTGAGTTTTTTAAAAAAAGTGGACAGAGTAGAGGATTTTGCTTTTTTTGATTTTATTTGGATTTTAAGTTTGAAGATTTACTTTTATTCCCTCTTTTTGTCTTTTTCTTTTGTTAAAAGGGAAAGTAAAATGGCGATCGGCAGGCTTTTTGGTGTTTTTTTTTCTTTTGACTGGAACGGAATGGAATGGATTTGATTATCTATAATGATTTTTTTGATGTTGGGTTTGGATTTTAGGAGGATTATTTTTCCTGTTTAACTCTTTTTATTCTTTGAAGGATTCTTTTGTTTTGTTTTGTTTTTTGTACTTTTAAAAATGGAATGGATTTTTTATTTAATTATTTTTCTTTTTTTCTCTTTCCCTTTTCTTTCTTTTTCTTAACTTTTTTTTATTATAATGATCTCCTTTTGAAGGATTTTTTGATTTTTTGGAGTTAATCTCTCTTTTTCTTTTGTTTAACTTTTCTTTCCCTTCTTTTTTTTGGGGTAATTTTTAAGAAGGAGTAAAGATTTTTTAAGATGGCTCCAAAGCGTCCAGTAATTCCTGCAGCTCCTAAGGTGGTTTCTTCTTCGGTGATATCATCAGCGCAACAATCTAAATCAATTGCTTCATCCTCTTCTTTGGCACAGTTAATAACAGTGAAGGATTTGCAAGATATAATGGGAAATGCTATAGCTCAAATTAGGGGAGAAATGAAAGAGATTTTAATGGAAAATAACAGGATTTTGAGGCAAGATATAGTTTTGGCTTTAAAAGGAGTTGCCTCTGTTCTTGAAAAGCTGAATTTTCGTGTAGAAGAGGTAACAGATAAAGTGGAAGTAATGGAGGGAAAATTTGAAGGCATGGAAAAAGAGATGGAAAATTTTCAAGATGAGATTCTTATGCTTCAATATAGACAAATGGAACATGCCTTAAGAATTAGAGGCTTGAGAGAGACTCTGCAAGGAGATGTGAGAGAGATGGTTGCAAATGACTTTGCTGTGATTTTGAATAGAGAAAAAGAGGAAATACTTACTGAAATTGAAAAAACATTTAGAGTTAACTCTGTGGTGGCAAAGCAAAAAAATTTGCCAAGAGATGTGGTAATCTATTTTGGGAAAAGATCCCTGCGCAATGAAATTATACAAGCTTTTTATAACAAGAGGTTTCAAATTGCTTCACAAGATGTTATAATTTTAAAGGAGATCCCATCTAAAATTTTAAGTAGAAGAAAGGAGTTTGCTTTTTTAGCAGATGAACTTAAAAAGAGGCAAATGTTGTTCAGATGGGATGTTCCGACTGAAATGGTGGTGAATTACCTGGGGACACATTATAGACTTAATACTGTTCTTAAAGCAAAAGAGTTTAATACTTCGGTCCTGGGGTTATGTTCATCGCCATCTACTACGTTTAAAGCTTTGGAAGAGAAGAAGGTAGAATTGCAGTCTGAAGAGCCTATGTTTATGAAAAATGGGAAATCTCAGTTTGAGGGGCCTCAACAAGTTGAGATGAAGGAGCAGAGGACAACTCGTGCAACATATAAAAGTAAAGAAAAGGAGCAACAGAAGAAGGAAGTTAAGGAAGCCTCACAAGTATTGGTTTCTGAGTCTGCAGGAGAAGCAAGATTTACAAACTTTTTGGGGTAACCTTTAAGAGCGGATTTCCAAGCACTTCTCTTGAGGTTTATGGATAAGAGAAATTGATAAAGAATGTATAGATTGTTTTTAGGTTATTGATAGATTACAGTTTATTGTGGATGGAATTGGTTATTGGTAAAGAGGAGAGAAGATTATGGAGATCGAATGAAAATTTTAGATAAGAAGTTTAAGTTTAGCAATTTAAGGAGTATTCAAAAGAGTATTTTGTTTTAATGGTATAATGAAAGTGTATATGTCTATTTTTGTGTTTTAGGATAAGGAAAGAGGGAGAGATTAGATTTTATATTGTATGTTAAGATATCTAAGGAGTATTAAGAAGCAATTTAAGGAGCATTCAAAAGAGTATTTTGTTTTAATGGTATAATGAATGTGTATATGTTTATTTTTGTGTTTTAGGATAAGGAAAGAGGGAGAGATTAGATTTTATATTGTATGTTAAGATATTTAAGGAGTATTTAAAGGAACATTTCGCTTTAAATATGCATAAGGGAATTTTAATGGTTTAAGTAATGTTTATATTTGTGTTTTTGAGGAAGTTTATAAAGAATGATGGATAATAATATAAGTATGACACTAGAAAATGTTTAGAGTATTTTATAATGTGTTCAATGATTTTTTTTAAAAAATATTTTTTTTCTTTTATTATTATTTTTAAGAGAAGTTTCTTTTTTTCTTTTTTTTTGTATTTTCTTCTTACATATTACTGTTAACTATCTTACAACTTGTTTAATTAATGTATTCAGATTTGTTTATGAGTTATATTTGCCTTAAGATGTTTTGAAAAATTTTTAATTAAGCCTGTATTCAGCTCTGGGAAGGCCGGGGGAGGGGAGGGGAGGGTTGGGGGGGTTTGGGGAAGGGAATTGTTTTGTAAAACTTAAAAATTTTCAATTAAAAAAAAAGTCAATGGGGAAGCCAGATTCATTTAACAACCGTGTCACTAACCATTTAACCACTGTGTCAAGAAAGGTCATAAAGTGGGGCAAAACTCATTTAACTGTCTTGCTTAGCAATAGAAATTTTGAGGTCTCAACTGCAGCTGTAAGTTGAGGACCACCTGTACCATTTTCCAACAAAAATCCTCGCACCTAAACCTCCTGTCCAGGGATGTTTCCACAAAAAAATCCACGAAAAGGAGTTGAAGCTTTGATCCCATGGTTGTGGCTGTGTTTTTACTTTTCTGGACACTCCAGCAGATATGTTGCTGCTGTTTATCCAAGAAAGAAGAATTTTTATTTATTAAATTTATATGCCATCCATCTCACTAATTATAGTCACCCTGAGAGGCCTACAAAATGATTAAAGGATGATACAAAATATCATATGCATCTTCCTAGTATTTATTTATCAGCATTTCTGCCTACAGACTTAAGTAGATCTTCTCATAGAAAGAGAAGGTGCAGGGAAATAGTATATATTTTAACCCTTTTGCCAGATTTGCAATTTCTGACAAAAATTTGGTTTCTAGGTAAGCAACAAAACCAGGAGATCTTGATGAACCAGTACTGATCCTCTCTAAGGCACTGTTTTTCAACTTTCGCAACATTAAGATGTTTGGACTTCAACTCCCAGAATTCCCCATACAACTTTCTGGCTGGGGAATTCTGGGAGTTGAAGTTCAGACATCTTAGAGCTCCCAAGGTTGAGAAACACACCTCTAAGGGAAATAACTAATACACAATAACTTCTTGGAATCAAGTTCAATCCTGGTGTTTTCATGGACCCATCACAGGGCTAGCCACTGTCTTCTTCAGAGATATAGTTTCAACCTAGGAACGTCCTGCTGATCTTCTACTGACCCAACTTGACTTTGTGATATGCTGAGATGACCTGAATCTAGCTCCTAACCTGCTTTGTACACTCTGTCTCCATGACCGAGCCCAGATCTTCTGAGATGTCGCTATCAGTTTCCACGTGAGCAATCGGAACACAGATAAGCACGCTGGGATTGGAGATAAAGTCATCTTGGTTGCTCTTCTCACTTGCCCAGGGGCTGCTGTGACCATCTTTGGAATTATGGACGTTGCTTCTCAATTCTACCTCATTTTTCTCCAAGTCACATTTTACTTTCTTGGTGGCTGCTTTCCTCTTCCACCCCAAAACTCGGAAGAAAATGGTCAATACAGCTTGTTTTGCAACATGAAGTCCTCTGTGGATCCTAGCAAAGGCAATCTTCAAGTTGTTGGTCTCCCTGTCCTCTTCTGGGAGCTGAGTGAGGTTATCGGTACTGAAGGAATTCAGCAGAAGGGCAATGAACAGATTGAGAACCTCAGAGGAAGGAGAAAGCAAAAGGTTAATAACAGATGCAAATTATTATTAGATTTGCTTACAGGTAATATAACAGATTATATCATTATTATCATTTGGAATACGAATGGGGAGACAGAGGTCATTTACAAGAGGAAAGAATATTTGGATAAAAAAAAATATCCTGATAATTTCATAGATATAGGCCAGGGGTAGGCCACCTTGGCTCTTTTATGACTCAGGGACTTCAACTCCCAGAATTCCTGAGCCAGCCATGCTGAGGGGAAAGGGAGAGTTTCCAAGCTGAGCCATGCTGGCTCAGGAATTCTGGAAGTTGAAGTCCATGAGTCATAAAGCGGCCTAAGCCTAGTCAAAGGTAGGCAACTTTGGCTCTTTTATGACTGGTGGACTTCAACTCCCAGAATTCCTGAGCCAGCCATGCTGAGGGGAAAGAAAGAGGTCTCCAAGCTGAGCCATGCTGGCTCAGGAATTCTGGGAGCTGAAGTCCACGAGTCATAAAAGAGCCAAGGTGGCCTAACCCTGGTATAAGTAGTCTTTAAATTACAACCTTTCCTTTAGTGTCCGTTTAAAGTTAAAATGACATTGAAAATAGAGTATATAGAAAACAGAGAGATAGAGAAAGACAGACAGACAGACAGACAGACTGTAAAGAGAAGAAAGAAGCTCAGAGAAACTCACCACTAAATTCCCAATCACCATCACCAGCACGAAGACCAGCAGGCACAGCGACTGCTCAGCTACCACCATGCAGTGCCACATGGTCTCAATCCATTCGCCACACAAGATTCGGAAGATAATGAGAAAAGAATGGAAAAAATCTTCCATGTGCCAGCGTACTTTGCAAGTGGGATCTAACTTCTTGCAAAACATTTTATAATAGTTCCCAAACAGTTGCATCCCAAATACAGCAAAAATAAAGACGATAATGGCCAGGACCAGGGTGAGGTTGCCCAGAGCATCCACTGAATTTAAGATGATTTTTATGAGGGTGTTTAAGGTGGGCCAAGACTTTGCCAGCTTGAAGACTCTCATCTGTTGAATACGAAAAGATCAAATCAGTTTCAAATCAATTTTAACAATAACAGAATAATACAGTATGTCAAGTACTGTGTTCAAAGATAACTAAAGGAAGCAAGAGGCCAAAAAAAGTTGAGATAAAAAGCCACAATCATGACTTCCTTTCTTAAACATTCAACTCATCTCTGCCAGCAATCCATAAATGAAAAATATTGTCCATTTACTGATAGTCCTCGAATTACAATAATTCATTTAGTGACCGTTCAAAGTCATAATAGCACTGAAAAAAGTGACTTATGACCATTTACAACATCTCCCGTGGTCATGTGATCAAAATTCAGAGGCTTGGCAACTGACTCATATTTATGACGGTTGCAGTGCCCCGGGGTCATGTGATCCCCTTTTGCAATCTTCTGATGAGCAAAATCAATGGGGAAGCCAGATTCACTTAACAATTATGTGACTCATTTAACAACGGCAGTGATTCACTTAACAACTGAGGCAAGAAAGGTCGTCAAATGGGGCAAACCTCACTTAACAAATGTCTCACTTAACAACAGAAACTTTGGGCTCAGTTGTGGTTGTAAGTCGAGGACCACCTGTAGTTCTGAAGCCATGGAACAAACAGTTACCAGCCTCAAGGTTCGCAGCACAGAAAAGCTGCCCTTTTTCCCGCCTTTTTTTCCTTTTCTGTCCTCTTTGGTCTCGCTGGAGGTGCTGAGCTCAACTATGCTGATCAGGACAATCACGCTGTCAAAGATGTTTGAGCGCTGCTGAAAATAATGGTAAGGGTCCATGGCAATGATTTTCAGGATCATTTCTGCTGTGAAAATTGCTGTGAAAATCTGTCAGATTCAGAGAAAGAAAAAATAGCAGAGTCAATCCTGAGGAAGGTAAGGGCTATTTCATGTTTATTTCTTTATTAGATTTTTTTTTAATCCTGCCTTCGTTGCTTTATAAGTAGCTCAAGATGGTGAAAATACCTAATACTCCTTCTTTTTCCCACTTCAAGAAATCTGTGAGGTGGTTGGCTGAGGGAGGGAGTGACTGGATTACCCAGCTGGCTTTCATGCCTAAGGCAGGACTAGAACTCATTGTCTCCTGGTGATTGGCCCACAGTCATCCAGTCGGCTTTCATAGTTAAAGCAGGACTAGAATTCACAGCCTCCTGGTGATTGGCCCAAAGTCATCCAATCGGCTTTCATAGCTAAGGCAGGACTAGAATTCATAGCCTCCTGGTGATTGGCCCAAAGTCATCCAGTCAGCTTTCACAGCTAAGGCAGGACTAGAACTCACCATCTCCTGGTGATTGGTCCAAAGTCATGCAGTCAGCTTTCATAGCTAAGGTAAGACTAGAACTCACAGCCTCCTGGTGATTGGCCCAAAGCCATCCAGTTGGCTTTCATAGCTAAGGCAGGACTAGAACTCCCAGTTTCCTGGGCCTTCACCACTAAACTGAACTGACTCTCTCTTAGTCTTCCATATGTTCAGTTTAGTCTTTGTCAAAGTCATGTGATCCTTGATCGGTTATTTTATTATTATCAATTCAAACAAAGAGGAGAGTCAAGAAGAAGGTTAAAAAAAAATCAAGATGGCAACCAAGTCCACACAATCAAAGACTTCTCCTCTTTTTTTATTGAAAATTTTTAAGATTTTACAATAACAAAAACAAAACAATTTTCCCCATCCCTCCCCAACCCTCCCCCTCCCTCCCCCGACTATCCCAGAGCTGGATATAGGCTTAATTAAAATTTCTTCAAAAAGTCTTAAGAAAAATATAAAATATAAGTAAGTCTAGATACATTACTTAAACAAATTACAAAATGATTAACAATAATATATATGTAAAAAAAAACATAAATACCAGAAAAAAAGAGAAATGCATAAAAAACATGAAAAAGAGATTAACTTTTCAGTATAAGTTATAAAACTGTAAACAAATCTAAATACATTACTTAAACAAATTATAAAATAATTAAGAGTAAAATATATATAAAGAAAGATAAGTACAAAAAAAAGAAAAGAAATAAAAAAAGGAAAGAAGAAAAATAAAATAAAAAAAATTTGGCTTTTCAAGAAAGTTAGCTTTTTAATATAAATTATTAAAAAGCTAAATAATATTTTTTAATATCCATCTTATGTTGTATAAAGTTTATCCATTTCCTCCATACCACAGCATACTTCTCTTGTGATTGATCCTTCAGGAAGGCCGAAATCTTTGCCATTTCCACCAAATAAGAAACTTTAAAAAGCCACTCCTGCAAAGTAGGCAAAGATTCCTTCTTCCAACATTGTGCTACTAACAACCTTGCAGCTGTAATTAAGTTTAACATCAATGTGATATCTTTGGTATCACAATCAGTAACAATACCTAATAAAAACAGTTGTGGGGTAAATTTTACCCTCCTTCTAAAAATTCTTTGAATATTCCACCATATCTTAATCCAAAAAACTTTTATATTTTTACACGACCACCAGATATGATAGTATGTAGCATCCAAACATCCGCATCTCCAACATTTAGGCTGTAGATCAGGATACATACGAGACATTTTTTGTGGATCAAGGTGCCATCTATAAAACATTTTATAAAAATTCTCCCTTAAATTTTGGGCTTGCGTAAACTTAACGTTCCTCACCCAAATAGTTTCCCAGGTATCTAGTAGAAACGGTTCACCAAAGTTTTGTGCCCATTTAATCATACATTCTTTGACTAACTCTGCTTCTGAGTTCAATTCTACTAGGACCCCATAAATTCTCTTAATGTGAGTTCGTCTTTGATCTTTTATTTGTTTAAACAAATGACTTCTCCTCTTTTTATCAGTACAGGTATTCCTTGACTTACAACAGTTCATTTAGTGATTGTTCAAAGTTACAACGGCACTTTAAAAAGTAACATGACTATTTTTCACACTTACAGCCTTTATAGCATCCCCATGATCATGTGATCAAAACTGAGATGCTTGGCAACTGACTCATACTTATCACTCTTGCTGTATCCCAGTGTCACGTGATCTCCTTTTGCGACCTTCTAACAAGCAAAGTCAATGGGGAAGCCAGATTCATTTAATAACCGTGTGAGTAACTTAAGAACTGCAGTGATTCACTTAACAACTGTGGCAAGAAATGTCGCGAAATGGGGAAAAACTCACTTAACAAATTTCTCACAGCAACAGAAATTTTGGGCTCAACTGTGGTTGTAAGTCGAGGACTCCCTGTATAGCAACAGGTTTAATATTTTTAAACAAGTCACATCCTTCCATCTTGAACTACGACGTTGGTCATCTGACAGTAAATTAAAACTATCGAAAATAATTAGCAAAGAAGTTGCAACAGCAATCAGCATATCACGTGCCAAAGATCCAAAGATCTCCTTTTGTGTTTCAAATCAAGAAGAAAAAGAAACCCATAGAGATCCCCTAACATTCCAGCAGGGGTTCTCAACCTTGGCAACTTTAAGACTTGTGGACTTCAACTCCCAGAATTCCTCAGACAGCAAAGCAAAGCTGGCTGAGGAATTCTGGGAGTTGAAGTCCACAAGCCTTAAAGTTGCCAAGGTTGAGAACCTCTGCTCCAGCCAAAGGGATCAACCAATGTTTTAGCATTTTATGGACGTAAAACAGGGGTAGATTCTCTTCTGCTTCAGGATTTGCTTACCATGTTACCACTCGAAAGAGCTTGCTCAAACTGGGGGGTCATTTTGTAGTGGTCCAAAGCCATAAAAAGAGTGTTCATCACAATGCAAAGTGTGATGATGAGATCGGTAAAGGGGTCCATTACAATCACACCCACTTTCTTCTTTATTTTCTGCCACAGAGGGCAACAGTTCCAGATAAGATACTTGCGGGCTAACTTATTCAAGAAGCGAGGCCATTTTCGATCTGATTCTTCCATCTCTAAACAAGGGAAGAAGGGGGAGGGAGAGGAGAAAGAAAAGGAGGAGGGGGAGGGGGAGAGGGAGGAGGGAAAGGAGGAAGGAAGGAAAGAAAGAGGAGAAGGAGGAGGGTAAGGAGAAGAAGAAGGAAGAAGGAGGAGAAGGAGAAGAAGAAGAAGAAGAAGAAGAAGAAGAAGAAGAAGAAGAAGAAGAAGAAGAAGAAGAAGAAGAAGAAGAAGAAGAAGAAGAAGAAGAAGAAGAAGAAGAAGAAGAAGAAGAAGAAGTAGTTATTGACATACTCATTTAAGTTTTTTTATGGCCTATCCTTTTAACTTTGGTTGAGAATGTACAAAATATCTTCCTTCTTTAAATTTCTCTGCAGCTCATTCCCTAAAAAGATGCAATGGTCTCTGATGACATTCTGACATTAGATAAAATATGTTTTACTTCAATAAATTGTAGGAATTTGAATGGTTAGGAAAAGGTGTTTTATTTTTCAATCACTACTCTTTATGTTTTTTAAGAAACACTTTTGACTGCAAATTCCACACAACAGAAAGTTGGGATGCAAGCATTTGTAAAAATTTCAAAATAACGGACCATAAAAAAAATACAGTGGCCCAGAATCACCTTACAGGGGAGATGGGTAGCATCAAAATGTAATAAATACAATAAATACATAAATAAATATGACAGACTTTCCTAATCTACAATTTCTACTGGAAAGGAATTGCTACTGTAATAATCCTTGACAGCTATTCATTTAGTGACAGTTCAAAGATACAGCAGCCATGAAAAAAGTGACTTAGGACTGATCCTTGCACCCATGATCAAAATTCGGGTGCTTGGCAACTGACATGTACTTATGACAGTTGCACTGTCCCAGGGTCATGTGATCACCCTTTATTATCTTCCCAGCCAGTTCTGAAAAGCTAAGTCCATGGGGGAAATTGGATTCACTTAAAAAACAACACAATTCACCTAACAATGATCTCAAAAAGGTTGTAAAATTGGGCAGGACTCACTAGGCCAGGGTAGGCCACCTTGGCTCTTTTATGATTGGTGGACTTCAACTCCCAGAATTCCTGAGCCAGCCATGCTGAGGGGAAAGGGAGAGGTTTCCAAGCTGAGCCATGCTGGCTCAGGAATTCTGGGAGTTGAAGTCCACAAGTCAAAGCGGCCTAGGCCTAGTCCAGGGGTAGGCAACCTTGGCTCTTTTATGACTCGTGGACTTCAACTCCCAGAATTCCTGAGCCAGCCACGCTGAGGGAAAAGGGAGAGGTTTCCAAGCTGAGCCATGCTGGCTCAGGAATTCTGGGAGTTGAAGTCCACGAGTCATAAAAGAGCCAAGATTGCCTACCCCTGCACTAGACCATCCCCTTGTTTAGCAACAAAAGTTCTGCAAAAGAAAATTTGTACCTTCAATGGCGCTGGTGATAATGCTGGCTACACTTGCTGCCCGTTGTCTCTGAAGTGGCTGGTTGTAATAATCAACTGACAGTCGATGAACTTGGACCATCTTGTTAGTTTCATCATACAAAGACATCTGTTTAAAAACACATGCAGTAGGTTTACCTATAAATATTCCTGCTCTTTGGACAGAAATATGACAATTTATACATCAGGCAAGTCAAAGGATTCTTAAAACTGAAATATATTATACAGGTCCTATACAGGTAGTCTGTATGAGAGCAGAGAAGAATGCAGGGAAAAGCAACAAAGATCATCAGGGGACTGGAGGCTAAAACATACAAAGAACAGTTGCTAGCATTGGGTATGTCTAGTTCAGAGGTAGGCAACCTTGTCTCTTTTATGACTTGTGGACTTCAACTCCCAGAATTCCTGAGCCAGCCATGCTGAGGGGAAAGGGAGAGTTTCCAAGCTGAGCCATGCTGGCTCAGGAATTCTGGGAGTTGAAGTCCACGAGTCATAAAAAAGCCAAGGTGGACTACCCCTGATCTAGTTCAGTGGTTCTTAACCTGGGTGATATCACCCCCCCAGGAGGCAATTTCATTTTTCAGGGGGGGCGAAGGAACGAAAAGGGGGCAATATGGGAGCAATGGAGCAAGAAGTTTGGGGGACACTTTTGAGACTTTTTTGTACAGTGAATCGCTGTATATCTGCCGTAAAAAAACATCAGATCGCTCACTATTAGTGGATTGAATTGTGTTTTCAAATGTTCCTCCAGCTAGCTTCAGTACAGAAAGCCATACATATGTGAATATGCATCGCTTATCTTCATGCACATTAAGCAGCAGCCTCTACCCATACAGTGGCGCGCCATTGGCCAGAATGGGCAGTGATGGAGGGGGGAGCACTTCTTTCGAAACATTGCATGCTGAGTGGCTGTCCCCTGTGACGTCAGCTGTATTGTCAGCTGTAATGTTGAAGATCTCTGAGTGCGGTGATTTAAGAATGCGATTAACAAAAATGGTTCCAGACATCAAGAAATTGGCATCAGCTCACCAAGCCCAAGGCAGCCATTTAAGTTCTTTTTTTATTTTTGCTGTTTGTTTTTTCGTTAATAATTGTCTGAGCTTTTATCGTTGTATTTGCTTGCATTGGATTTCACGTTCCAGTTTGACTTTTCAGCTTCGTTTTCGAATTTTTGTTGTGCTCTGTAAAACATTTTGTGTGTCTCTTTGTATTGTAATTTTTAAGCGTGCACTCCAGTGCGATATTATATTTTCTTTGTGTCTTTTTAATCCTTTTTACAGTGTGCGTGACTATATATACTTTCCTCGAATCTTAATTTAGTTTCAGAGTTTTCATCTTGAAATTCTTAGTTCCTGCATTGCGGTTTGTTCTTATGCCCTTTTTATATTTCTTTTTGTGTCTTAAATTTCACTTGTAATTCAATCATTAAATGTGACAGGTGGCACCAAAATTTTTCACACAGTTGACATATGGGAAAAAGACTGGAAATAAATTATTTGCATCGATATGTCCTGATGACAATTTTAAAGAAAACAAAAAAAGTGTTTGCATAAATTGAAGAATTATTTCGTATGTTGTGATTGGTGGAGGGGAGCGATGACAATTTCCTCATTGGCTCAAGGGGGCAATTCGTTCAAAAAGGTTATGAACCACTGCTCTAGTTTAATGAAGAAAAGGATGAGGGGGGACATGATAGCAGTACTCCAATATCTCAGGGGCTGCCCCAAAGAAGAGGGAGTCAAGCTGCTTTCTTGAGCTACTGCTTCCCTCATCTGATGCACAGAGCAACTTGACTGAAGTAGGATTTAAACTGTAAATATCCACATTGCTAGTAGTTGTCCATTGCTTGAAGTTATAACTCACCTGGAAAAAGAAAGTTATGAACCTGGTTCCAAAGTTCTGACAGTCACCCACCCCACCCCACCCCCGATGACTTTGGGTGCTCAGCAACATGGCTGCGTTTATAGTAATTTCCAGCATCCTGTGATCACATGACCGCATTTTATGACATTTTTGATAAAAAGCAGAAGTTTTGCAATGGTAACAAATAATGACCGTCGAATTCATTTTACTACAGTATTCATTGCATGACAATAGCATTTGCTTAACAACTGCTGCAAAAAAAATAATAAATTCAGGCTGATCACATGACTGACCCTGTTTATGACTGTAATGTCCAAGCTCCATTACAATCGTATGTCAAGGACTCCCTGTATTACAGTTGTTAATTGATAGGTGTTTGTAATCTGTCTCATATTTAATCTACATCTGCACAACCAGCTTTTCTTCTTTCCTTCCCTCCCAATTCCCCTCAACTTTAGTCCTAAATTAGTCAAATTATGCATATAAAGAAAGTACCTACAGTTCATTTGTTAGTCATAAAAGTGCTAACAGACTCCCTCCGATATTCAGACTAAAATAATTATAACACCTCTGAAATTAACAAGAGAAATAGTTATACCACTTCAGTGAGGTTCACACAGTGACTAGCTTTTTTCAAGTATGTCTTATGAATTGTAGAAACTGCTTGCTTAAAGATGCAGCCTATAAATAAATACATTAAACAAATATAATTCATTATAATCGTAGAGAAAATCTGCCTATCAGTGTGGTCCGTAAAAGTTGAAAATGACTCAGCATTATTCACTTACCCAATTCACTCACTCACTCAGTCAAATGATTATAATATAGAGGTAGTCCTTGACTTACGACCATTTTTTTAGTGACCATTTGAAGTTACAACAGCACTGAAAAAAGTGACTCATGGCCAGTTTTCACACTTATGACTATTGCAGCATCCCCATGGTCACGTGATCAAAATCCAGAGGCATGGCAACTGGTTCATATTTTTGACAGTCGCAGTGTCCCGGGGTCACATGATGATCCCCTTTTGTGACCTTCTGACAAACAAAGTCAATGGGGAAGCCAGATTCACTTAACAACCATGTTACTAACTTAACAGCTGCTGAGATTCACTGAACAATGGTGACAAGTAAGGTTGTAAAATGGAGCAAAACTCACTTAACAACTGACTTGGTTTGCAACAGAAATTTTGGGCTCAATTTATCATAAGTTGAGGACTACTTGTATGCTACGAAGTATAGTTGATATACTCACACAGAAACTACCTCCTTTTATGAAAATATTAGGCTGTGTTGTCCCAAAGGACAATTAGCCTGTGCTCCCTATTTTGGGGTCCTTCAGAAAACATCCCTATCTAATATACAACCATGTATACAATTCTGATGTATAACTACACTTGCATCATGAACAGCCTATGAAGCATAGCCCGCTTTCTTGAAAGAGCAAATAATTGCCAATATTTTCAACCCACCTGGTTGCTCATTTTGGGATTTTGCATAACAGGAGGAAGCAACAAGGCTTCTCCTGCAAGAGGTTCCACGTTCAAGGACCTCGTTCCACCAGGTCCTACCAAGGAGACCAACCCGTTGCAATCATCTCCAGCATTCCATCTGTTGGACTGCATGTAGTTAGGAGTAGCTGGATGAGACCCATAGCTGGCTTGGCTTTGGGTGCTTGGATGCCTGAATATGCGCGTAGGCAAAACACAACTACGATGGAGCTCCATCTCCCCAACATCATTGGAGTCTTCATCCCCAACTTCAGTCTTGGATCCAGTCTCTTTCCCTGACAGATAGAAACTGAAGACACTGCCATGACTGGGTCTCCGTTTTGCTGGGTTTGAAGAAGGTCCATAGCCATAGCTGAAGATCTGCAGAGTACAAAGATGGGAGAAACGAAATGCAACACAACATTGGCATGTGTTGGTTTCCATCAGCTAGGGAAGTTCTTCAAATAAATAAATTAATGGTAAAAGCAGCCAGGGCCTTGCTGATTGGATCTTTTGCATTTAAACTTCTCAGTGCTTGCTATAACTGTGAGTGGGGAGGGGATTCAGCTCCAAAAGCAACCGGGGCCTTGCTGATTGGATCTTTTGCATTTAAACTTCTCAGTGCTTTCTATAACTGTGAGTGGGGAGGGGATTCAGCTCCAAAAGCAACCAGAAAGTCATAACCAAAAATCAAACAGCAGCAGTACATTCAGGGCAAGTGCGTCTGTGATTCCTTGTATCTAAGAATGTCAGGCATAGTTCAGTGCAACACTTGTTTTGTAGCTGTCTTTCGCAGTACCCTTTTCAATCATGGAAACTGTCCTATCTGTAAACAAATCATTAGTCTACAAGGGCAGATTACCTATCTAGGGTCTGTAATCTCTGCTCTTCAGGCAGAAATTAGGTGTTCAGTTCAGCCCTTCTACTCCACTGAGCCTCCAAGCTATTAGCCCCCTCTACCACAAAGATCCTGCAGGAGAAGGGCATTGTGGAAAACCGTGGGATCTGGCAGGGTGAGAGCTGTGAATCATAAACACAAAGCTTTTGCTGTGCCCCTGCTCAACAGATACAGTGCCCTTGCTGACCTTAATAGGGACATTAAGGAGACAAGTAAAGGTATTTGTGATGACAACTCAAATAAGCAGGGGATCTTGATCCGAGATGAAGAACTTGTTTTCAATAGGGAGAAGTGCAAATCAGTCATACAAGAACAGAAAGGCACCAAAAAAGAGAAGCCACCTTCTGGTTGGTGATTCAATTATAAGAGATGTAAATTTAGGAAAGGACACAGAGGTTTTGAATGAGGTCAGGTGTCTTCCAGGTGCTACTGTCAGTAGGGACAAGAAGCGTATTTGTAAAATAATCAAGAATGCCAGCAAGGACTGTGATGTGGAGGCTATTGTACATCTTGGCACTAACGATCTGTCCCAAAAAGATGTACTCACTGTGCAGAATGACTTCCAAAGCCTGGGGCAGGAATTTAGCAGAATAGGCTGTAGGCTTATTTTTTCAGAGGTCTTACCAGTGTATAAGGACAAAAATGGAAAAGGCCAGCATGTAGCACAATTCAATATGTGGCTAAAGGAGTGGTGTAAAGGAGAAGGTTTTGAATATATTAGTCATGATGTCCCATGAAAAAAATATACAAAAGAGATGGTTTGCATCCATCAAAGAAAGGGACTGAGTTATTTGGCTATAAATTCACAGATTTTCTGGAGGAATATTTAAACTAAACAGCAGGGACAGTGAGCTAACTGATACAGGACATCCCTGTCCCCGGCAATCTAAAAACAATAGGACTATCAGTGCATGTAACGTAGATATGTGTGTGGACAAAAATACCAACCTTGCTGTCAAGCAAAATCAAGCTCTTAATAGCAAGTGCCACACAAAGTGCACTAACCAAATAGGTAGTAAGACATTAGGGGAACTCAGGCACCACACAGGTTATGTAGGAAGTAAACACAGGGTCGGTCATAAAGGACTCAAATGTCTATACACACATGCACAGAGTATGAACAGCAAACAGGGTGAACTAGAAATTCAGGTTAATGAGGGCAGATATGATATTGTTGCCATAACAGAAACATGGTGGGACAAAACCCACAAATGGAACACACAGATAGAGAGATTTAAATTATTTAAAAGAAACAGACCAAATAAAAGAGGAGGTGGAGTTGCTCTCTATATAAGAAATAACTACATCTCTACAGAAATAGAGCACAACAATGATGAAAACTGTCCTGAATGCATTTGGGTCAATATAAAAGGGGGGGAAACGACATTGCCATAGGTGTATACTACAGACTACCCAACCAAACACAGGAAATAGATGAACTTTTTGCTAGTCAGCTAACTAAGGTATGTAGGAAGCACATCACAACAGTAATGGGGGACTTTAACTACCCTGACATCAACTGGGAGACAAACTCTGCACCAAATGGAAGATCAAACAGATTCCTGACAAACCTAACAGACAATTTTGTCTCCCAAAAAGTAGAGAAGAGAACTAGGGGATTAGCCATATTGGATCTCTCCTCACTAGCAGAGATAAAATGATAGAAGGTGTTGAAGCCATAGGAACCTTGGGAGGAAGTAATCATGCAATATTGGAATTCAACATTATGGAAGCACAAGCAATAGAACACAGTCAAACTAGAGTCTTGGACTTCAAGAGAGCTAATTTCAATAAACTTAGAGAGGGTTTGGGAAGGATTCCATGGATGAGAATCCTCCAGGGGAAAACAACTCAAGAGGCTTGGGAAATTTTGAAAAGTGAGATAATAAAGGCCCAGTCTAGCACAATACCAACAAAGAGGAAAAATAACAGCTCTCAAAAGAAACCAGCATGGCTGCATAAAGTATTCTCTAATCAATTGAAAGATAAAAAGGACAAGTATAGAAAGTAGAAAGAGGGACATATGACTAAGTCAGAATATCAGCAAATAGCCTGAGCCTGCAAAGATGAAGTGAGGAAAGCTAAGGCTCAAAATGAACTAAGGCTTGCAACCAAAGTCAAAAATAACAAAAAAAAAGCTTCTTTCAACATGATAAGAACAAGAAAAAAGTGAAGGAAACGATTGGTCCATTAGTGGGTGAAAGTGGCAAGAAGGTGACAAGCAACAGGGAGAAAGCAGAACTATTTAACTCTTTTTTTGCATCTGTCTTTACACAAAGGGAAAAAACAGACAAGCCTATCAAAAATAGTGCCATAAAAAACAAAATAGAAATACAAATTAAGATAGGCAAGAAAATGGTAAATGAACACCTATCCAGTCTAAACAAGTTCAAATCACCAGGACCAGATGGATTACACCCCAAGGTTCTTAAGGAACTGGCAGATGTGATCTCAGAACCACTGAACTATATTTTTCAAAGATCCTGGAGCACTGGGGAACTACCAGAGGACTGGAAAAGAGCTGATGTAGTTCCCATCTTCAAAAAAGGGGGAAAAAAGGGACTTCCAGTGGCTCAAAACCTCCCTCCCGGGCAAAGGGGGTGAGGGGAGTATCACCTGAATAGAGGTAGAGCCTCTTGGACCCCCCAGGAAGTTTTCTTTGGGGGGTGAAAAGAGTGCTCCCTCGGAGTTCGGGTTGCCTCCACCTCTCAGCTGTCTTTGTCCCTCAGGGACAAAGCAAGACGCCGCTCCCACCTCCGCGCTTAAAGAGACCGGGTGAGTTACTTTTAAAAGCGGACAGAGTTGGATAAAGGATTTTTTTATTGGATTTTATTTGGACTTTAGTTTGAAAGGTTGATTTTTATTTCCTTTCTTTTTTCTCTTTTTTTTCTTTTTGTGAGAGTGAAAGTAAAATGGCGATCGGAAAGTTTTTTTAAAAAAAAAAAGCGAGTGAAATGGAATGTAATGGACTAGATTGTTCTTTTTTTAAAAAAAAATTTCTTAAGGTGGATTTGTGTTTTGGGAAGATTCTTCTTTGTTAAACTCTTTTTTGCTATCTTTTTTTTCTTTTAAGGGATTTTTTTTTGTATTTCTTTATTTTCTTTTTCAAAGAAGGAGGAAAGAAGAAACAAAACTTTTTCTTTTTGAAAATGGTTCTTAACTTTTTTCCTTTTATTATAATGATCCCTTTTTGAAGGAGTTTTTGATTTTTTGGAGTTAATCTCTCTTTTTTTGCTTAACTTTTCTTTCCCTCCCTTTTTTTTGGGGTAATTTTTAAGAAGGAGTAAAGATTTTTTAAGATGGCTCCAAAGCGTCCAGTAATTCCCACAGCTCCTAAGGTGGTTTCTTCTTCGGTGATATCATCAGTGCAACAATCTAAATTAACAGCTTCACCCTCTCCTTTGGCACAGTTATTAACGGTAAAGGATTTGCAAGACATAATGGGAAATGCTATATCTCAAATCAGGGGAGAAGTGAAAGAGATTTTAGCGGAAAATAATAGGATTCTGAGTTTTGGCTTTGAAAGGAGTTGCCTCTGTTCTTGAAAAGTTGAACTTTCGTGTAGAAGAGGTACCAGAGAAAGTGGAGCTGTTGGAGGGAAAATTTGAAGGCATGGAAAAAGAGATGGAAAATTCTCAAGATGAGATTCTTATGCTTCAATATAGAGAAATGGAATATGCTTTAAGAATTAGAGGTTTGAGAGATTCTTTGCAAGGAGATCTGAGAGAGATGGTTGCAAATGACTTTGCTGTGATTCTGGATAGAGAAAAAGAGGAAATATTTAGTGCAATTGAAAAAACATTTAGAGTTAACTGTGGTGGCAAAGCAAAGAAATCTGCCAAGAGATGTGGTGATTTATTTTGGGAAAAGATCCCTGCGCAATGAAATTATACAAGCTTTTTACAATAAGAGGTTTCAGATTGCCTCACAAGACGTTATAATTTTAAAGGAGATCCCATCTAAAATTTTAAGAAGAAGAAAGGAGTTTGCTTTTTTAGCAGATGAACTTAAAAAGAGGCAAATGTTGTTCAGATGGGATGTCCCGACTGGAATGGTGGTGAACTATCTGGGGACACGTTATAGACTTAATACTGTTTTCAAAGCAAAAGAGTTTTACACTTCGGTCCTGGGGGTATGTTCATCGCCACCTATCGCTTTGGAAGAGAAGAAGGTAGAATTGCAGTCTGAAGAGCCTATATTGATGAAAATTGGGAAATCTCAGACTGAGGGGCCTCAACAAGTTGAGATGAAGGAGCAGAGGATAACTCATGTATCACATAAACGCAAAGAAAAGAAGCAACAGAAGAAGGGGGTTAAGGAAGCCTCATAAGTATTTGTTTCTGAGTCTGCGGGAGAAGCAAGATCTATAAACTTTTTGGAGCAACCTTTAAGGGCAGAATTCCAAGCACTTCTCTCGAGGTTTTTGGATAAGAGAGATTGATAAAGAATGTATAGATTGTTTTCAGGTTATTGATAGATTACAGTTCACTGTGGATGGAATTGGTTATTGGTAAAGAGGAGAGAAAGATTATGGAGATAAAATGAAAACTTTAGATGAGAAGTTTAAGTTTAGTAATTTAAAGATTATTCAAAAGAATATCTTGTTTTAATGGTATAACTAACGTTTATATGTTTATTTTTGTGTTTGATGATAAAGAAAGAGGGAGAGATTAGATTTTATATAATATGTATGATATTATGGAGATTGAATGAAAATTTTAGATAGGTAGCGTATGTTTAGATATCTAAGGAGCATTTAAAGGAATATTTTGTTTTAAATGTGTATAAGGGAATTTCAATGTTATAAGTAATGTTTGTATGTGTGTTTTTGAGGGTGTTTATAAAGAATGGTGGATAAATTTTAAATAATATAAGTATGACATTAGAAAATGTTCAGAGTATTTTATAATATGTCTAATGATTGTAATCATAATTTTTTTTTGCTTTTTATATATTGGTCTTAAAGTATTTTATAATTTGTTTAATTATTGTAATTAATTGTTTATGGTATACAGTGTTTAAAAATTTTTTTCTTTTAAGTTGTAACTAAGCCTGTATTCAGCTCTGGGAAGGTTGGGGGAGGGTTGGGGTGGGTTGGGAGAGTTTGGGGAGGGGAATCTCTTTTTTTGTAAAATTTTAAAAAATTTTCAATAAAAAAAGGGGGGGAAAGGACCCAGGAAAGTACAGACCTATCAGCCTGACTTCAACACCTGGGAAGATTCTGGAAAAGATAATCAAACAATGAATCAGCGAACACCTACAGGCAAACAAAGTCATTACTAAAAGCCAACACGGGTTTGTCAAAAATAGATCATGCCAGACAAACCTTATTGCATTCTTTGACCAAGTGACAAAATTAGTGGACCAGAGGAATGCTGTGGATATAATTTACTTAGACTTCAGTAAGGCATTTGATAAAGTAGACCACAACCTACTACTTGATAAGATAGAAAAATGCGGGTTAGACAGCATCACCACCAGATGGATTCGTAGCTGGCTGACTGGCTGTACTCAGCGTGTGGTCCTCAATGGAACCGCATCTACATGGAGGGAAGTGTGTAGTGGGGTGCCCCAGGGCTCTGTTCTGGGCCCAGTGCTCTTCAACATCTTCATCAACGAGTTGGACGAGGGGATAGATGGGGAACTCATCAAATTTGCAGACGACACCAAGCTGGCAGGAATAGCCAACACTCCAGAAGATAGGCTTAGGATACAGGAGGATCTGGACAGACTTGAACACTGGGCACTATCTAACAAAATGAAATTCAGTGGTGAAAAAAGTAAGGTTCTACATTTAGGCAAGAAAAACCAAATGCACAGGTATAGTATAAGGGGTACCTTGCTCAATAGTAGTAACTGTGAGAGTTATTTCGGACTCCTAGTGGACAATCATTTAAATATGAGCCAGCATTGTGCTGCAGCTGCCAAAAAGCCAACACAGTGCTAGGCTGCATTAACAGAGGGGTAGAATAAAGATCACGTGAAGTATTAATACCACTTTACAATGCCTTGGTAAGGCCACACTGGGGAATACTGCATCCAGTTTTGGTCACCACAGTGTAAAAAAGATGTTGAGACTCTAGAAAGAGTACAGAGAAGAGATGATTAGGGGACTGATTAGGGGACTGGAGGCTAAAACATATAAGAAACGGTTGCTGGAATTGGGTATGTCTAGTTTAACAAAAAGAAGGATGAGGGGGGACATGATAGCTGTGTTCCAATATCTCAGGGGCTGCTACAAAGAAGAGGGAGTCAAGCTATTTTCCAAAGCGCCTGAAGGCAGGACAAGAAGCAATGGGTGGAAACTAACCAAAAAGAGAAGCAACTTAGAAGTAAGGAGAAACTTCCTAACAGTGAGAACAATTAACCAGTGGAACAACCTGCCTCCAGAAGCGGTGAATGCTCCAACACTGGAAGTTTTTAAGAAGAAACTGGACAGCCATTTGTCCAAAATGGTATAGGGTTTCCTGCCTGAGCAGGGGGTTGGACTAGATGACCTCCAAGGTCCCTTCCAACTTTATCATTATTATTATTACTAAAAGAGATTGTGTATAGCTCAGAATTGAATTGAGGGGTCCTTGATGCTCTCTGAGTTGGGTTGTTTTTTTGCAGACAGTCCATTAGCACTGATGATGTTACCTAGTTTGGGTAATGAAATGTCTGCAAGAAAACAACCAAGTTCATGTACCAAGGGCCCTCAAATAAAATCAAGGTGTTCTGGATCGTGTAACCCTGACCTAGAGCATGTAGTTCTGTATGTTAGAATGTTTGGCATTTATTGGGTTAAGTGCTGTTTCCTTAAAAGATGGCTTATGGGTAATGTAGTTTTAGCTAGTCAGCAATCCCATGTTATCAGATCTGTGGGAGGAGCCAGTAAAGTTCATCACAGGATATCCTGGCCATGTGCCAGTTTGGAATGCCTTTGTCTGAGTTAAGCATGGAACCACCGGAGGACTCAGATGGCCTCATTCCATGTTAGACGTTGGTGTGGAGGAAGTATTAATTTCTTACCTATAAGAATGAACAGATGTGTATTATCCAGAAGCAACAACACAACTGCAAGTATCTCTGAGTAAAATGTCTGTTTTATAATCATTCTTATTGAATTTATCTGTCTGATCTGGATTTACAAAGCAACTTAACTCTGGATCAGAAAATACGGACTGTGAATCTACTGCCCAATGCAGAAAAAATATGAATGTTTTGAGCTCCCTGTCAATAAAGAATGTTATTTATGATTTATTTCTGCAACTTACTTTAGGGACATATCTATAGAGAGTCTCAATCATTCAGTCATGGTTGTCCCAAATTTGCTTTTCCAAAAGTCAGTGGACTTCTTTGGTTTTTCTTTGAAAACATTTTGCTTCTTATCCAGCTTCTAATCTTCAGTTGAACTGAAGTAGCTTCTTGGGTGAGAAGCAAAATATTTTCAAGGAAAAAAATAAGGAAGTTCAGTTGCTTTTTTAAAAGCACCTTTGGGGCAACCATGACCTGGATGATTGAGAATCTCCATAGATGTTTTCAAAGAAAAAAACAAGTCCAGTTGTCTTTCAGAAAAAAAACTTTTAGATGTTTACTTTGGGGCCTGGCTTTGGGAAAGTCACTTTTTGAAGGTATAAATTTACTAAAAACTTCCATGCAAGGGTTTTTGGTCACCAACTGGTGATTACAAATTGCATAGTGCAGTCGGTTTTTTTCAATTGGTGCATTTTTTTCACAGTTTTAAGATTCCAGTTTTGCATGAGTCTTTAGTTGTTAGGTTAGCAACATGATTGTTAAGTGAATCTGGTTTCCCCATTGACTTTGCTTGTCAGAAGTTTGCAAAAGGAGATCACATGAATACACACACACCCAGGACACTGCAACCATCATAAATATGAACCAGTTGCCAGGCATCTCAATTTTGATCACGTGACCATGGTAATGCTGCAACAGTCATAAGTGTGAAAAATAGCCATAGGTCACTTTTTTTCAGTGCCGTTTTAACTTCAAACATTCACTAAATGAAGCATTGTAAGTTGAGAACTGTCTGTACTGTATATTAACGTACTGTTTTCCGATGACTGTCATTTGAGGCTGGGCCCGAATCTTCCATTCCTAAGGACAATTTCTTCATTCGGTTGCTTCTTTCTTTGTCTTCCTTAGATGCTGGAGATACTTCAAAGGAGCTATGAGACATACTGTCATTCTCTCTAGCGTTTAATTCCTAGATTGTGGAAAGAGCAAAAGGGAACTATACAATTCTGTTTTCACATACATTTTTTAAAAAAGATTACTATTTAAAAGGACAGCTTCCCTGTATACAGCTGCTGGTTTACCATGACTGTCTAAAAGACTATCAAATAATTGCAGTCTTTTCTCAATCGTAATATTTTCAATATATCTCCTTTAAAAATATGTCCGGCATATCTTTGTAAATCCAAACTATATAACAGTGATGGCGAACCTTTTAGAGACCGAGTGCCCAAACTGCAACCCAAAACCTACTTATGCATCGTCAGGTGCCGGGTGGGTGTGGCCAATTGGGGGTGTGTGGCCCATTGGGTGGGCATGGCTATGGTGGTAATGCCAGACTGGGTGGGACTAAAAAGTTCAATCAATCAATTCCAACTTTGCAAGATCTTTTTTTTTCCCACGAGAAGTTGAAATTGACTGATTGATTGAACTTTTTTTTTTTTTTGCACAAGGCAGCGGAGGCCTAAAGCGAAAAGGTTTTATAAAACCCAGCTGAAGGCCTAGGACTGGGGCGACAGCACGCGTGCCCACAGAGAGGGCTCTGAGTGCCGCCTCTGGCACCCGGGCCATAGGTTTGCCACTACTGGCATATAACCTTCAAAACCTCCTTGAAAATCTGAGTCACTTCCTTCCTCCTTTTTTTTCCTGGCACACATATAGTATATGTCCTTGGTCTTATTTCCTGGTAAGGTCTAGTTAGACTTGCTATCTCTATCAGAATTTCCTATAAATCAATCTCCTTTCTGTTGTAGTCACCAAACTTGCTTTAACTAGTTAAGCTGGATGTTGTGATAAAAGTATTGTATAGGAATCATGGTGGTGCAGTGGTTAGAATGCAGTATTGCAGGCTAACTCTACATTCCCACAGCCAGGAGTTCGATCCTGACTGGCTCAAGGTTGACGCAGACTTCCATTTTTCCAAGATCGGTAAAATGAGGACCCAGATTAGTGGGGGCAATAGGTTGAGTCTGTAAACAGCTTAGAGAGGGCTTTAAAGTGGTATACAAGTGTAAGACCTGTGGGAAGAATCCAGAGCAATGGTTCTCAATCTTTTTAATGCCATGACCCCCAACCAGTCGTAAGTCGAAGACTACTCAACCGGTCGTAAGTCGAGGACTACTCAACTGGTGCAGCACCGTTTGCAGAATGGGACTTTTGGCGGGCTCAGCAGGGCAGACACAGCCTGGACAATTCCTACTGGCTTTTGAAAGCCAATAGAATTAGACTCTATTCAAGAGAGTCTATTCTATTGGTTTTCAAAAGCCAATAGAATAAAAGGGAGTAGCACAGTTAAGGAAAAGGGGGGGGAAATGGCAGACTGTGTTGTTTGGCGACCCCTGTGAAATGGTCGTTTGACCCCAAATAGGGTCCCAACCCACAGGTTGAGAAGGCATGGTCCACTGGAGGAGCCTCACAGTTCCTCTCAGGCCATGCGGGGGGGCTGGATGGTGGTGTGGGCTGCCCAGAGCCCTGGGCAGCAGAGGTCAAATGCCCAGCCGGGCCCTTGAGCACCTGCGGCACCAAACTCAGCCCCCACTTCCTCAAGGCTGCTGCTCTAGGTTCTCCTGGTTCCTCGCTGTTTCCAGACGGCCTTGTGGAGCTAAGACTGAATGTGTTTCAGCATAGATGGCCACCACAAAATTGTACATTGGCTTGCGGCCGGCCTGGGCCAGGGCCAAGGCAGTGGGGGCCATTCCCTCACTGTTTCCAGGATGGCTTCGCGGGCCACATGAAACCACTTCACAGGCCACATCCGGCCTCTGGGCCTTGTGTTTGACATGTCTGAATTATATGGTTTAAACAACCAGCTTAACTTTTTGGACTTGCTCTGTGCAGGTTTATCCTGCCTGTCACAAGTGGAGGTTGTGATGTAGTGGCACAATGTTCTTTTAGTCATTTTAATGAAAGCAACCAGAGTTGTAGACACCTCTTGTTCTTTTTTTAGCATTTCCATGGCTTCCCGGAACTTTCTCTCTTTGGCCTCTGTTTCAGCAATGGTGGCTTTGCTCTGTTCTTCATAAGCCATGGTAACCACAGCTAAGATTAGGTTGACCAGATAAAACGAGCCCAGAAAAATGACCAGCACGAAAAACAGCATGTAGATCTTCCCAGACGCTCTTAGTGTCTGAAATTAGAAGAATATATTAACCAGTTGTGAGAAGTTTTATATGAAAATATATTTTATTCTTTATACTGTTTCCATCTTCCCTTTAAACATCAGCAGAATCGACAATGGTCTGAGAATCAGCATCTCCACTAGATAATTGACAGTCAAGCTGAAACAAGCAAAAACAGCAAATGGGGGGGGAATCTTTTACCCAAACTTCCTCAAACACCCAAATAAGTTACCTAGACCTAACCCACATATCAAAGGATAAGGTCTGCAAACACAAATAGGGTTAATTAAAATAGGTTTCCCAGTGGAATTGCATGTTTAAACCTCATACACAGATATATATACACACAGAGACACATACACACATACCTCAGGTGTCACATAGACACTTCCACACCAGGATAAGCTCCCCTATAAAAGTCTGTAGCTGTACCCCATTTCTCTGCGGCTGTCCCTAAAGGTAAACTGTTTGCTTTTAGGAATAAATATTTCTTCTTTCCTCATAGCAGTCTGGATCTCATTTTTATTTATCCAAAGGGACAGAATCAAGATCATGTGAGTATTAATACCACTCTACAATGCCTCGGTAAGGCCACACTTGGAATACTGCATCCAGTTTTGGTCACAACAATGTAAAAAAGATGTTGAGACTCTAGAAAGAGTACAGAGAAGAGCAACAAAGATGAATAGGGGGCTGGAGGCTAAAGCATATAAGGAAAGGCTGCTGGAATTGGGTATGTCTAGTTTGATGAAGAGAAGGACGAGGGGGAACATGAGAGCAGTGTTCCAATATCTCAGGGGCTGCCACAAAGAAGAGGGAGTCAAGCTATTTTCCAAGGCGCCTGAAAGCAGGACAAGAAGCAACGGATGGAAACTAATCAAGGAGAGAAGCAACTTAGAACTAAGGAGAAACTTCCTGACAGTTAGAACAATTAACCAGTGGAACAACCTGCCTCCAGAAGTGGTGAATGCTCCAACACTGGAAGTTTTTAAGAAGAGACTGGACAGCCATTTGTCTGAAATGGTATAGGGTTTCCTGCCTGAGCAGGGGGTTGGACTAGATGACCCCCAAGGTCCCTTCCAACTTTATTATTATTATTATTATTATTATTATTATTATTATGGATCATCGCACAGTCAGCCAGATGTTCAGACTGGATTTGGCATTTTATCTACCTATCGAGTCCTTACCCAGGACCTGGGATAGGCAGATGTGGATTTTTGATGGAATTACAGGTATCGTCGCAGGATGGAAGCAGTTCCTATAAGGCCGCCTTTTGCAATTGACTAATAGCGAATTTGTCAATGCCAATGGTGTTCAAGTGGTGCTCCAGTTGTTTTGGGATTGCACCCAAGGCGCCTATGACTATTGGTACTACCCTTGCTTGCTTTTGCCACAGTCTTTCTATTTCTATTTGTAGGTCTTTGTATTTTGTTATCTTCTCCAGTTCTTTCTCGTCTATTCTGCTGTCTCCAGGCACTGCCACGTCCACTATCCAGACTTTTTTGTCTTTCTTATCGACAATTGTTAGGTCTGGGGTGTTATGTTGCAGGTGCTTGTCTGTTTGAATTCTGAAGTCCCAGAGCAGTTTAATTTTATCATTTTCTATGACTTTCTCTATTTTATGATCCCACCAGTTTTTGCTTACAGGCAAATGATATTTTTTGCAGATCTTCCAATGCACCATTGTTGCTACTTTGTCATGCCGCTGCTTGTAGTCAGTCTGTGCAATCTTCTTGCAACACTTACCAGGTGGTCCACTGTTTCTTCAGCTTCTTTTCTTACTCCTGTCTTCTCATTGACTGTCTGTTGCTGTCTTCTCAATTTTGACTTTGTATGCATTTGTCCTTAAGGCTTGGTCTTGTGCAGCCAGAATTAGTCCCTCGGTCTCTTTCTTCAATTTTCCTGCTCTTAGCCATTGCCAGGTTTTATTGTTATCTGCTTTCCCAGCTATTTTTTTCATATATTGGCCATGTAGTGCTTTGTTTTCCCATGCCTCTATTCTGTTCTTCATTTCGTCTTTCTTGTAGGCCAGTTTGGTCTCTCCAGTAGTCAGTAAGCTTTCCTGATATACTAATTTCAGTGGATCTTCATCATTGTTCTTCAGATATTCTTCCAAAGCCATTTTTTCTTCTTCAACCATCTGATGTACTTGTAGCATTCCACGCCCACCTATTTGCCTTGGTAGATAAAGTCTATCAATGTCACTGCGTGGATGAAGGGCATGATTCATTGTCATTATTTTTCTGGTCTTCCTATCCATTGCTTTTAGTTCTGCTTGAGTCCAGTCCACTATTCCAGCTGTGTACCTAATGACTGGAATTGCCCAGGTGTTGATTGCCTTTATGGTATTTCCTCCATTGAGTTTGGACTTTAAGATCTTCTTCACTCTCTTGATGTATTCATCTCTAATCTTTTTCTTGACTTCAGTGTGCTTGATGTTGTCAGCTTGAAGGATACCCAAGTATTTGTAGTATCTTCCTCATCCAGACTCTTAATGTTATTTTCGTGGGGCATCTTGATTCCTTCAGTTTTCACTATTTTTCCTTGTTTGATAGTAAGTGTGGCACATTTGTCCAAGCCAAACTCCATAACAATATCTTGGCTATATATACGGACAGTGTTGAGCAGCGATTCTATTTCAGATGATGTTTTTCCATACAGCTTCAGATCATCCATGTAAAGGAGATGGGATAGTCTGGCAGATGTTTTTGATGTTTGATAGCCATGTCCTGAGTTATTCAGTATTGTTGACAGAGGAAACAGTGCAATAACAAATAGTAATGGTGATAATGAATCTCCTTGAAATATTCCTCTCTTGATATTAACCTCTCCCAGCCTCTCACCATTGATCTGCAACTGTGTCTTCCATTGTGCCATCGATCTTTGCACAAATTTTCTGATGTTTCTACTGACTCCTGTTATTTCTAGGCACTTGATTATCCAGTCATGTGGCAGAGAGTCAAATGCCTTTTTGTAGTCAATCCATGCCACATTCAGGTTGGTCTTCCTTTTCTTGCAGTTTTCCAAGATCATTTTGCCTATTAGGAGTTGATCTTTTGTTCCTCTGCTATTGGGGCGGTTTCCTTTCTGCTCACGTGGAAAGAGATTGTTCTCAACTAGATGCTGTTGTACTGCATCAGCTACTACACCAGTTAGTAATTTGAAAGTTGTTGGTAAGCAGGTAATTGGCCTGTAGTTGCCTGGTGTTGCCCCTTTTGCTGGATTTTTCATTATTAGGTAGGTTTTCCCAGTTGTTAGCCACTTTTCAATTTCTCCTCCTTGTAGTATATTGTTGAACTGCTTGGTAATGAGTGGGTGTATAACAGTTAGATGTTTCAACCAAAACCCATGCAGTTCATCTTCACCTGGGGCTGACCAATTTTTGATTTTCCTTGCTCTTTTTTCTACCATTTTTGTTGTTATTACTAGTTCTTTCATTTCAACTTCTGATGTAATAGTAGTAGTAGTAGTAGTAGTAGTAGTAGTAGTAGTAGTAGTAGTAGTAGTAGTAGTAGTAGTATAACTCTGGCTTCAGTTGGAACCCCAAATTATTCTTCTGGTTCAATCTTTGATTAACATTTAAAGAATAACAGAGTTGGGAGGGACCTTAGAGGTCTTCTAGCCCAACCCCTGCTCAAGCAGGAGACCTTCTACCATTCCAGACAAATGGCCATCAAATCTTTTCTTAAAAACCTCCAGTGATGGAGCACCCACAATATCTGGAGGCAAGCTGTTCCATTGATTAATTGTTCTCATTGTCAGGAAATTTCTCCTTAATTTTAGGTTGGTTCTCTCCTTCCAGCACTTCTCCTGCCCTCAGGGCTTCAATTTTAACCTTTCACTCCTAGTTATTCCTATTCAAAAGCTGTATGGTATCCATCCGTGGAAACTCACACTCTGCTAAAAGGTGTGATCATTTTGATAAATGTGCAATCAAGATTTATGGTGGATTGAGAAATCAGCAATCTGGGAATCCCTCTTTTAATATTGGTGATTAAGTTTTATAATTAACGTCTTGAAAAAACAATGGGTGGAGACATTAATAAAGTTTTAGCTTTTTTATTAAATCAAAACAGGATGCCTAAAAGATTACTTCCATAGGTCCCGCTGTGCTGCCTCACCATGTTGGTGGTGGGGTCACTGAGCACCAATGAAGATGGTATTTTCTATAGCAAGGGTGTCAAACTGCCGGCCTGCGGGCCAGATCATAGCAAAACCGCGTCTACCCCATTGCTGGCATTGGCAAAAAAAGTCATGATATGTCATGTCACGTCACATGAGGTTGTGAGTTTGACCTCCCTGTTCTATAGGATCTTTACCCAAGATGCAAAGGTCATCCTAGGTAGCCAACTAAAGCAAGCAAGCAACTATATTTGTACATCTGTCTCTGAGGGAGATAGATAGGTTTTCAATTTTGATAAATAAATATTGGGAAGCAGCAGAGATATTGGAAGATGCTGAAGGCAGAGGTTGGTTTTATTCAGTCAGAATTGAGCTGGAAGGGATCTTGGAGGTCTTCTAGTTCAGCCCCTTGCCCAAGCAGGAGACCCTATACCAGGAGTAGGCAACCCTGGCTCTTTTATGACTCGTGGACTTCAACTCCCAGAATTCCTGAGCCAGCCATGCTGAGGGGAAAGAGAGAGGTTTCCAAGCTGAGCCATGCTGGCTCAGGAATTCTGGGAGTTGAAGTCCATGAGTCATAAAAGAGCCAAGGTTGCCTACCCCTGACCTATACTATTTCAGATAAGTGGCTGTCCAGTCTTTTCTTAAAATCCTCCAGTGATGGAGCATCCATTCCATTGGTTAATTGTCCTCACTGTCAGGAAGTTTCTCCTTAATTCCAGGCTGCTTCTCTCCTTGGTTAGTTTCCATCCATTGCTTCTTGTCCTGCCTTCAGGCACTTTGGAGAAGAGGCTGACACCCCCCCCCCTCTTCTTTGTGGCTATCCCTCAAATACTGGAATACTGCTATCATGACACCTCTAGTCCTTTTTTTCTCCAGACTAGCTATATATCCACTCTTCATATGTTACTGACAATAGTCAAGAGATCATTTCACATTGCATGAGAGAAGGCAAAAGGGACACTCCTTCTGCGTTTCACAAAGAAAGCCACAAAGATAGACAAGTTAGGGGTGTGACCCAAGGAAGTTATTTGATTAGGTCAACTGGATCAAGCTGTGGATTACCCTTAGGAAAACAGCAACTAGAATGTTTCATTCTTATGAAAACGTATATGTCTCTCAGGAAGTCACAACATGAGAAAAACACGGTGAAACAGACTAATTCTACTTCAGCACAGAGGGAAGACAAGGGTGTACACTCCTTAGCTGAACTGGGTAATAAAGATAAATGAATACTTCAGCTAGATCAGATCATGTGTGGATCTGCAAGCATTCTTTCCCAATAATGGAATGTACTTTGCATTATATTTAGTCTATGGTACTTTAACCAACATTTCTGGGGTATTTGGAGGGGGTGGGATAATTATGGGCAAGGACTCTGGATTAAATTCGTTTGTTCAACTTCTTTTAGGCCACCCTCCACTTCAAAAGCCCCCTGGTTGTCTTAGGGCCTATCAGTTTCACAGGATTTTTGTTATGGTGAGAGAGAAAAAATGGAGGAAGGAATGCTATATTCACTATATTGAGAGAATGAATGAATGAATGAATGAATGAATGAATGAATGAATGAATGATGTTTGGTGATCGGCGAGGCATCGACGAGGCAGCAGGTGCAACAACAACTCATTATTTAAGATTTAAACAGAAGCTTGGATAACTGTCGCTCCACCCCTATTTATACACTCAGCAACTAGGTGGCGGCCAATAGGATTGGAGTATTAGTTCCCACTTTTAACACAAGTTAATGAGCATGTAGAGAGAAAGTCTGGCACTTAACTGACAAAGTCTTGTGACCGTTTTTTCAACAGAACCAAGTATTTCACATCAATACATTACAGAATGAATGAATGAATGAATGAGTGAGTGAGTGAGTGAGTGAGTGAGTGAATGAATGAATGAATGAATGATTGAATGAATGAATGAACGAACTAATAAACAAACAAACCGGGCTAGAAATCAGAGATGACACAAAAGCCAACTGGGTGCTTTGGGCCAATAACCAGGAGATGCTGAATTCTATTCTGGCCTTAAGCATGAAAGCCAGCTGGGTGACTTTGGGTCAATCACCAGAAGTCAGTGAATTCTAATTCTGCCTTAGTCATGAAAGCTGGCTGGGCAATCCCCAGGAGATGGTGAGTTCTAATCTTGCCTTAAGCACAAAAGTCAGCTAGGTGACTTTGGTCCAATCCCTCAACCCAACCCACCTCACAGGGTTGTTGTCTTTATTGGGAAAATAGGAGAAGGAAGGAGATATATTTGCATCCTGGAGTTGTTTATAAAAAATAATAAAGGTAGGATATAAATGAAATGATCTTGGGACTATTCATTAAACCCTTGTACTCCTGCCTGTTGAAGGCCACCCAGAAGTCAAAACATGGCTGTGCCTATTCATTACTGTCCTTTTCCTTAAGTGGAGAGATAAGTCCACTTTTGCAACACCCCAAATCTGAAGGTAGAGTCTAACAGTAGGACTGACCCAAGCTATCCTACATCTTAACCAACTTTAGGTGTTCAAAATCAGGGGTACAAAAACTGTGCAATGAACATCAGATTATACATAAAACCTTTGCTCGGCATTCTAACACTCCAAAATAAGAGGAACTGGGTGAAACTACAAGTTGTAGACACTAAACATTCTTTCCATTAAAATGTTCAGGGTATTTTCCACAATTTCACATTGCCTGCATGTCTAGCCACTTCTCAAGCTGTAGGGATCCCCCCAATCTACGGGAGATTTTCCAGTGGGGGTCCATTGACCCCATGTAATTTAATCTGTTTATCATTCAGGAGATCAGAACAGGGAAAAAGAGTTTTCAGCCTGTGAACACACCCCCACGTCAGGCTGCGGGTGGTCGCCATAATTAAAAATACTCCCCTGTGTTAAAAATATTTATGCACCCTTCTGTTACTTTAGGTTGCTTGGGGGGCAGAGATGCTATGTAAACATTTTATTAAATCAGTAAATATACTCTGCAATCAGGGCGATAAAGAACAAATACCAGCAGCCAAGCAGGAAACTAGGCAATAGGTTTCATCTGGCAGAATAGTTTTTGCACAGAGAGAGTTTTGTATGAGTAAATGTCTATGGAGATTCTCTGTCATCAGATCATGGTTGTCCCAAAGATGTTTTTCCAAAAGGCAACTGGACTTGCTTGATTGTTTTTCCCTTAAAAACAGTCCTTTCAGCAGCCCCAAGAAGACTCCATACCCATTTGCACTCTGATTCAGCTGGCTCTGAGGATACAGATATAACCCCTCAATGATTCTCAGAGTGCCATTGAGCAAAGGACTGCAAAGAATATAAATCCTTCTATTCTCCACTGTGCTGGACCAGTATGTAAATCTGGTCAGAGCATATATTTAGCTTAGAAAATTGTGTGTAGAGCAAGTAGCATTTTAAGGGTTAAAGTGCTGTCTCATTAAGAGATGGCTTCTGGGAAATGTAGTTTAGATATTACATGTGTTTTGATTGGCCATTGGGAGGATGGCCAGACATCCTGTTATATGCCAGGTTTTTATTATCCTTCCATGAATCCTAGCTGCATGGCAAGGCTAGGAGCTCCATTAACAGCAGCATGTAAGATTTACGTAGGATGGGGGAAATCCATTATACCTTTACCTACACGATGGGCCCAGATTACAACTTACATTCCGGAAGAACTTCTGCAATAACTGTGAGTTAACGTTTTGAGGATACCTGGAAAATAAAAGTAATCTCATATGACATCATCCGTTGAGTTTACTCTGCCTGTTTCATGTGGAGTCCAGTAATCTTCTTTGCATGGGACAGGAAAGATTGAGTCAGAACTGAAGAAGCTTTTTGAATGAGAAATGTTTGCAAGGGAAAAACTCAGCTGTGTTTTGGAAAAGCAGCTTTGGGGCTTTGCCTAAATCAGGGGTCCTCAACCTTGGCAACTTTAAGACTTGTGGACTTCAACTCCCAGAATTCCTCAGCCAGCTTTGCTGGCTCAGGAATTCTGGGAATTGAAGTCCACTAGTCTTAAAGATGACAAGGTTGAGGACCCCTGGCCTAAATGGAAGCAACTTTAGCAGGCTGCAAAGAAATAAAACAAGGGCTCCACACACACACCTGTTGGTAGAGCCGTTCCCAGTAGTCTTGTGTCATGAGGCGAAATAAGGAAAGAAAAGCCCAGCCGAAAGTATCAAAGCTGGTGAAACCATAATCAGGATTTTCTCCGACTTTCAGACACACATATTGTGGTGGACAGGAGCTAAAAGAGACAATGGTTTCATTTAGAGTACAGGTAATCCTCTCTTAATGACTGGAATTAGGACCAACAACTCTTACCTCTAAGTCAGGGGTCTTCAAACTTGGCCCTTTTATGACTTGTGGACTTCAACTCCCAGAATTCCTCAGCCAGCCATTCTGGCTGAGGAATTCTGGGAGTTGAAGTCCACGAGTCATAAAAGGGCCAAGTTTGACGACCCTTGTTCTAAGGTGGTTAAGTAAGGACCTAGACCAGGAGTAGGCCATCTTGGCTCTTTTATGACTCGTGGACTTCAACTCCCAGAATTCCTGAGCCAGCCATGTTAAGGGGAAAGGGAGAGTTTCCAAGCTGAGCCAGGTTGGCTCAGGAATTCTGGGAGTTGAAATCCACGAGTCATAAAAGAGCCAAGGTGGCCTACTCCTGACCTAAAGGGATCCAAGATACTTCTGGAAAATGCCTCCAGATCAACACCCCCCCATTACAGTTAGGGCCTGACCTAAATGTGAGGTCATACCAGCTAAGAAAAAAAACCAGTAGCTGAGTTTCCTAAATGAAAGGACTGTATTTTGCTATAAATGTCTTTTATATTCTTCTTTATGCATTTATTGCTTGTAGGATACTGTGAAATTCTTCATCTGCTCTACTTTTGATTCTCTAGATTTGACTTTTGTATTCAAGTAAATAAGTGTATTTTGGCTTTGTGCCCTTACAGGGGAGGCTAGTCCTCATGTTTCTCTTACAATTCTTTGAACTAGAGACTCCTACGTAGGATGGCTTTAAGCACCAAACTAAAGGTGAATTTGTAGGCTGTTTGGACAGTTAAAACTTATATCATGCAGGCTTTTAAGGTTTTTTCCTGGTTCTCTTGACTACTATAACCAGCAGTTTTATTTATCTCTATTGGGATTTTATTTTTTTATTGTTAGCTGCTCTCTCGTAATGGTTCAGTTGCAGAATCCAAATTTAATGAATATAGCTAGTCCTCAATTTACAACCATTTATGTAGTGACCAATCGAAGTTACAACAACACTTAAAAAAGTGACTTATGACCATTTTTCACACCTATAACCGTTGTAGCACCCCAGGATCATATGATCAAAATTCAAATGCTTGGCAACTGGCATGTACTTACGACAGTTGCAGTGATTCCCCTTTTGCGAGCTTCCAAAAGTCAAATGGGGAAGCCAGATTCCCTTAACAACTGTGTGACTAACTTAACAGTGATCCACTTAAAAACTGTGGTAAGAAAGGTCATAAAATGGGGCATAACTCACAGTTGTCTTGCATGGCGATAAATTTTGCAGTCAAGTGTGGTCATAAGTGGAGGGCTACCTGTGGTCTCAGCTGAAGCAATAGGAAAAGTTTTTTCAAGATTCTTATCCAGTTGAAACGCAGACTCTTAGTTTCCAAACCAAGGCGGAAATTTTCAAACAAATAATAGCTAGACCCACTTACCCTCCATCTGAGCCATTGCGACACAGCAAAAAGTCTTCAGTGCCATTTTTCAGTTGGTAATTTTCTGCAAAATCAGAAAGACCAAGCTCTATAAATAATGGAAGAGTTTCTTGGGCACAAGATTTTTGATTGTGAAAATATTAGGATGTCCTGAAAACAAATCAGCCCTGTTTTTCCAAACTTTCTTCCATTCCATCCTCTCCCGATTCTTCTGAAGCATCTTTCTCCTCTTATTCAGCCAAAAATACATCTTTGTCCCTCTGTCTTGGATATGTTACATTTTTAAATCCAAAATTTCTAATGTGCATTGATGCAGGAAAATAGCTTTCTACAGCGTATCCTGAACACAACCCTTTTTTTTCTTAAGAACAAGTACATTGCTTTAAATAAAAAGCTCAAGATGGACCCCAGCCAATCTCCCTACATCCTGAAGTTTTCTAAGTCCCAAACATGGAACTGAATTCTTAATGCTTTATTATTTTTTCCACTTTCCATACATAGCCCAGACAGGAGGCCCAAATATATAATGATTAATCGTCATGGCAGAAGTCAAGGTATCTTACCTTCATTGTTGGTGAAAATCTCATAGGAAATGTTACTTATGCTCTGATTGATAAATTCCGTATAGTTCCTGACACATTTCTGCTTCAGGTGTCCCTTGAAGAGTTGGAGGCCAATGAGGGCAAAGACGCTCAAGCAGAAAACGGTCAAAATCATCACATCTGTGAGTTTCTTCACTGACTGAATCAAAGCTCCCACAATGACCTTCAGTCCTGCACAGAGGCACAAGAATGAAAGAAAAGCCAAGGTCATAAGAGCTGGAGAACATCAATGCTAGTGATGTTGCCTAGTTTGGGTAATGAAATGTCTTCAAGAAAACAACAAAGCTCAGGGGGCAACAGGGGCCTGAGGCCTGGTCACATTTAATCTCAATATAAAAAAAGATGTTGAGACTCTAGAAAGAGTGCAGAGACGAGCAACAAAGATGATTATGGGGCTGGAGGCAAAAATATATGAAGAACAGTTGCAGGTATTGGAGATGTCTAGTTTAGTGAAGAGAAGGATGAGGGGGGACATGATAGCCATGTTCCAGTATCTCCAGCTGCTACAAAGAAGAGGGAGTCAAGCTATTCTCCAAGGCGCCTGAGGGCAGGACAAGGAGCAATGGATGGAAACTAATCAAGGAGAGAAGCAACCTAGAATTAAGGAGGAATTTCCTGACAGTTAGAACAACTAACCAGTGGAACAACCTGCCTCCAGAAGTTGTGAATGCTCCAATGGATTTGTTTAAGAAGAGACTGGACAGCCATTTGTCTGAAATGGTCCTGCTTGAGCAGAGGGTTGGACTAGATGACATCCAACAACTCTGTTATTCTGTTATTCTTATAACCATGAGAAATTATTCCACAAGTTTCATACCTGGGACAATGGAAATTGTTTTCAAGGCTCTCAATACTCGGAACATCCGAAGAACAGAGACGTTTCCCAGGTCAATAAAGTCTCCTATATACCTATAACGTCAACATAGGGCAAATGTCAGTGTTAGTGCTATCTTTAAAACTGGATATGGGGGTTGACTCCAGCTTTGTTTAAACTCCCATTAAACATCATTAGTCAGTGGGGAAAAACATTTTTTCAGGAATTGGGCAAATCCAACCTCTGCGCAGGCCAACAACAAAATTATTATTATTATGGTCTGTCACACAGTCAGCCAAATTTACAGACTGGATATGGAATTTTTGTCAATGTGTGGAGTCCTTCCCAAGGTCCTGGCATAGGCAGAGGCTGTCATTGAATAATTCTAAATGAGGTATCATCATATGATGTAAACTGTTCTAAGTAAAGCTGCTTATTGCAATTATTATTAAATGTATTTGCTGCCTATCTTTTTTTTATAATAAAAAGTTTTTTCATTTTCATACAAAATACAATTCAATTCACAAGATAAAATAAATTCCTAACCATTGGTACCACCTGCCATTCCCCCCAGGCTGCGTCCACCCTCTCTAATCCTTCCCTACTTCCCTCCTCTTTCTCTCCTCCCCTCCTACTCTCTTCCCCTCCACATCTCCTCTAACCATCCTACTTCCTCCCTACTCCTTCCTCCCCTCTCATCCCTCTCACACACATGAACGCAGCATTGGGGAAATGCCCAAGCATTTGCCATAACTATATTATCATTACCCATCCACCCACTCACCCACCCACCCACCCTCAACCCTCCCCCCCTTGCTTCCCAGAGCAGAGTACAGGGTTATTAATAAGAAAGTTAACAATAATAGAAAAAAGAAAAAAGAAAAGAAAAGAAAAGAAAACATCATACTTAACCTTTAACTCCCCTTAAATTAAGTCATATAAACAAATCTCTACAACAGTTACTATAAAATTTACTCATAAAGTAAATGAAACTTTATACTCCCATATTTTTTCTGAATATAATCTATATTTGCTGCCTATCTTATCATGGGAACACTCTAGGTGGCAAATAAATTTAATAATAATTGACCTGATATTTTTGCAAAATAAATAAATGCAAAAAAACAAATGCAAAACTGAGAAATGCAAATAAATGCAAAAACTAGACACAAGTGGGAGATTTGACATCTGGGGATTAATTGTTCATGGAGACCCATAATTGCCTCTTTGGTTTCCTTTCAGGAGGGCTTAAAATGTGATGCTTCTTGTCAGAAATTCAAAATATTGATCCGTTTTTCTTCTTTGACAGGGAAATGCAGGCTTGGGAACATTTCCATATTGGGTGTGTGGGGGGGTGCCTAATAGCCAGGCTGCCGGGCAATTAAAAACTTGGAAAATTGCCAGAAAGAATGACAATTTCACTGTCATATTTTAGTGGCATAAACATCAGTGTTTCTCAACCTTGGGTGGACTTCAACTCCCAGAAATCCCCAGCCAGATGCAGAGAACAAATGGAACCACATTTACTGATAGGTCATCTTGGATTACGAAAAGACTATAGCAGTGATGGCGAACCTTTTAGAGATCGTGCCCGAAACCACCCCGCTCCGCCCGCCCACCCCCACCCTGCTCCACCCTCACCCTGCCGCTCTCAGGGCCCACTGCAGATCACCCAGGCGGCCCTGCAGCACCATGGTGACCACACCTTCCACCCCCACCTTACAGCATCATCTGCTGCCCAGCTGCCATGTGTTTGGCTGCTCTGCTCTGCCTGGGCTGCACCCGGGGGGGGGACTCTCTGGGGGGGGCTGATGATGAGAGGGCTGTGGGGGGAGGCGAGGCTGGGGCGAAGGCATGTGTACCCACAGAAAGAGCTTCAAGTGTCACCTCTGGCACTCTAGCTATAGGTTCGCCACCACTGGACTATAATATAGTCCTCGACTTACAACTATTAAATGCTGGTAGACTGTTTGACCAACCATATTATTATTATTGTTGTTATAATACTTTTCAGTAATGTTGTTATTACAGTGGCACCTTGGTACTCATTATTAATTGGTTCCGGGAGTCATAGTAAGTATCAAAAATGATAAGCACTGAACAAATTTTTCCCATAAGGAGTAGCGTCGTGAGTCACAAGGCAGTTGACACCAATAAGTTCTAGCTTGTGTGTTGCATACCAAACAAGCAATGAGCATTGAGACAAAATTCTCATGTCAAAATGCATTGCGTACCACATTCGATGAGTTTCAAAGTAGTTGAGTACCAAGGTACCCCTGTATTTTGTATTTTGTTCTCTATTTTATTTTACCATGGATACCAACAAGACTGGAGAGATAAAGAACTCCCATTAAACAAACAAACAATAAATAAACAAACAAATACTGAGGGAAAAGATAAAACCTCAAGTGGCCTCAATGACTCTCAGAGAGAGTGCTAATGATGAGATGACTGCAAATAAATATGATCCCCCCCCTCCGCTTCATCCTGTCAAAACTTATCCTTTCATTTCCCCCCCCACACACACACACCATTCAGTCAGAATGGAGGAAGTTTCAAGGATGAGAAGCAAAACTTTTCTTCTTCTTCCTCATGGATAAACAGTCCAATTGCCTCTTCAAAAGGACTTTTGAAACCACTGTGATTGGATGACTGAGCGTCTCCTAACACAGTGGTGGCGAACCTATGGCATGTGTGCCCTAAGTGGCACTCAGAGCCCATTCTGTGGGCATGTGCGCCATCGCCTCAGCCCCAACTCCCCCCGAGGCCCCCTCATCAGCAGCCCCCCCTTGAGGAAAGTCGCCCCCGAATATGGCCCACACAGAGCAATGCAGCCAAGGACATGGCAGCCAGGCAGTGGGACAAGACTCTGCCCTTACACCCCGTTGCGTGCAGTTGATGCACCTGGGCGATCTGTGGCAGGCTGTGGAAGCGGTGGGGGGCCCTGCAGGTGGGCAGAGTGGGGGTGGAGCAGGGTGGGGCAGGGGTGCAAGGTGAGGGCGGGCCAGTTTTTGGGCACTCGGTCTCTGAAAGGTTCGCCATTACTGTCCTAACACATCCTGAGGGGAAAAAATTAAGGAGCCCAGTTCAATTAACGATAGGTTAATCAAAGGAGAACGCTGCCACTTACGCCATTAGAATGACACTGAAATCCAGCCAGTTCCACGGGTCTCGGAGGAAAGTGAACTCATTCAAACAGAACCCTCTTGCCAGAATCTTGATTAGACATTCAAAAGTATAAATGCCAGTGAACGTATACCTGAGTAGAGGAAAAACAGGTCAACGCAGATCTTGGATGCCTCTGCCCATAAGAATATTTTGTGAGAATGCCAGATTGCACCTAGAGCAGTTGGTGGACTTCTCCTGGGAACCTCACATTTATGCCTACAAGTAGATCCCAATATGATCGTTATTCAGCAAACCAGCCTTACCCAGCCCCTCAGGCACCCCATGCTCTGCATAATGACCGCAACAGAGAGAGCAAGGATTGTATGGACTCAAGAAAATATATATATAATACATATAAAATGTTTTGAATTAGAGTTGATTAGATGACTAGATTTATTGAACAGAATGTTTAAAGATTAAATATATTTTTAACTATGATTAAAAAGAATTAGAAATTCGAGAAAATAAATACTACTAAGCTAGGAGAGAGATATATTTTAAGTACTATGTTATTTTCTCTGTTCTGTTACAACTGCTTTTTTCTATTCTTTTGTAATTTTTTTATTTATTTTTTCTCTTATTCTCTTTCTCTTCCCCTCTCTTTTTACTTTTATATTTAATACTTAAGAAACACAAAAATGTGAGATGGCTTATATGGAAAAAATAGAATCAAGTCAGTCAACGTAAATGGAACTAATTGCTACCAGTAAAAATACTCAGAATTTGATGGGAGAAATAAACTAAAATAATGACTGTAACAGGATTGATGATAAGGCAAATCCAAATGAATGAAAAGAAAAGAAATGTATTAATATGATGATTATTTTTAGGAATATTGAAAAAAATATATACTAAATTGTCAGTTATTAAAATATTAAGAATTGTATTAACGCAATGTTTGCAAAAAAGGATGTTTTTAGGGAAAAAGGAAAGTAAACAAAATTAATATATGAAATACAGACTATAGAAATTAATTGTTAAGCACTGTTTTTACAAATGTAACCCAGACACCACACTGTTTACCTACTATTGAATGACTTATGTTTGTGTAAAAAACTAATAAAATTATAATTAAAAAAAAGGATTGTATGGATGCCTTGTTTAATGACAGCAACAACTTAATGTCCGTTATTCTGGTTGTAAGTCAAGGACTGCTTGTACTTTTGTTGTCTTGCAACATACCTCTCTCCAGAAAGTAGTAGAAAACTTTGGGTTGGTTCAAGGATACAAAGAAACTAACAATGGGGTAAAAATTAATAACCTGCCAGTTCAAAAGCATGCAAATGCGACTAGATAAAGAGGTACCACTTTGATGGGAAGTTAACAGCGCTCCATGACGTTATGCTGGCTACATGACTTCAGAAATGTCTTCAGACACCGCTGTCTCAATAGCCTTGAAACAGAGATGAGCAGCACCCCTGAGAGTTGGCAACAACTAGCAGAATAAAATCTGCAGGGACTCTTTTACTTTTTTTACCCTTTTTTTAATGGAATAATGCATTATAATGAAAATGGAATAATAGTGCTAAAGCTACTTACTCAACATATTTGCTTGAAGAGTTATCTTTGCTGTTTGTTTGTGATGAATCCGAAAGAGCCATGAACACGCAATTAGTTAAAATAGTGAGCATGATAAACCAAGTAAACAATGTGAATTATAGGAGTTCAGGAAAATGATGTTTTGGGAACATGACAATAGTCCTCAGTATCCATAGCTTAGAAATATTATCCACATAAAACTATTGCTCTTGGATAGATCCCCATTCCTGATTTATTTAAAAGAGATACAAATTAATAGCTCTGAACTATTTCGGGGATAAATTATTTAATCTCTAGACACTAAACATTTTCTTGCATTTCTCCTAGAGAACATAGGTACTTTCTCATTAAAAAAAATGCCAGAATGAAAACAGAGAAGGAAAAAAAGCAATTATGTAAAGGATATGAATGAATTAAAACTTTAATTGTCATCTGCCTGATTCGGTGGAAAGGACTCAAGATGTATAAAGCATTTGTGGCAGTAAATCGAAAGATTGTTTTTCCTTTGTTCAAGACCATAAATGTCTGCAGAAGAAAAGTAAGAAATTAACTAGAAAGACTCTTGCTCCCCAAGTATGTCATAAACAGCACCATCTACAGGCAGTCCTTGATTATGACCACAGTGGAGACCAGAATTTCTCCTGCTAAACGATGCAATCGTTAAATCAGTTGTGCCTGATTTTGTGACTTCATTTGCTGCATTTGTTAAGCAAATCACTGCACTTCTCCCATTGACTTTGCTTGTCGGAAGCCAGCTGAGAGGGTTGCAAATAGTGATCGTGTGACAGTGGAAGACAACTAGGCTGAGCCCGAGGGAGGGGTCAAATGTGTCATCACTCTCGAGTCACATAGGATCTAAGCCCAGCCAACCTTGAATTCCATTCATTCTTATCTACCCGCCAATTCGCTTCGACTTTTAATAGTTCAGATTCTTGTAGAGAGCATAAGCTTGCAATAAACCTTTATATTCATTTAAACTTCCTGGACTTCCTGATTTTAGAAGAGCTGTGGTGGCACAGTGGTTAGAATGCAGAATTGCAGGCTAACTTTGCCAACTGCCAGCAGTTCCATCCTAACTAGCTCAAGGTTGACTCAGCCTTCCATCCTTCTGAGGCCGGTAAAATGAGGACCCCAGATTGTTGGGGGGGGGGGCAATGTGCTAACTCTATAAACTGCTTAGAGAGGGCTGCAAAGCACTGTGAAATGGTATATATAAGTCTAGGTCAGTGGTGGCAAACCTATGGCACGGGTGCCAGAGGCATCACTTGGAGCCCTCTCTGTGAGCACACGTGCCGTTGCCCCAGCCTTGCCTCCCCCCACAACCCCCTCCTTTCCAGCAGCCCCCCTGAAGGACATGGCAGCCAGGCAGCGTAGACAAGACCCTGCCCTCACACCCCATTGTGCACAGCTGATGCTGCAGGGTGCAGGCAGAGGGTGACTGCCATAGCGCTGCTGGGCTGCCTGGATGATCTGCGGCGGGCCCTAGAAGCAGTGAGTGGCCCTGCGGGCAAGTGGTGTGAGGAATGGGGGGGGCGGAGTGGGGGCGGGGCAGGGGGTGGAGCAGGGGCAGTTTTTGGGCACTCGGTCTCTAAAAGGTTTGCCACCATTGGTCTAGGTGCTGTTGCTATTTTTCCATGCTTGTCAGTAACCCTAGGATTCTGCAAGCATGATAAATACACATGAGTGTTCCCAGTTCCCGAGCACCCAAATTTTGATCACGTGGGGATATTGCAAGAGTCAACAGTCAAGTGTGAGGGCTGGCTGTAAGTCTTTTTCTTTAGCACCATCATCTTCAAATGGCCATTAATCAAATGGCTGTAAGTCAAGGACTACCCCTATTCCCAAAGAGAAAGTTGCCTAACTTTCATATTTGCAGACTACAAAAATCACAGTCAAGGAATAAAAATGTAGAACAGTGTTTCTCAGCCTTGGCAACTTAAAGATGAGTGAACTTCAGCTCCCAGAACTTTCCAGCCAGCCAAAGCTAGTTGAAAAATTCTGGAAGTTGAAATCCACACATCTTCCAGTTGCCAAGGTTGAGAAACATGGATGTGTGTGTGTGACCATTTCAGTGGATAAGTCTCGAAGGAAGGGATGGAATATCCAGAACTTTGGAATAGTGAGGAGTAGTGAAACAGAATGATTAAAAATTCAGAGCAACGCCACTGAAGCAGACTTGAACTTAGAAAATTAAACTGGGTTCTCAAACTTGGCAGAAACTTCGACATTCCACCAAGGTCTGGCAGAAACAAAGTGATGAACAATGCTCACATTGAGTTCCTCTTGTTTTGTCTGTGAGGACTGGGTTAAAACTTGTGCCCGCCTCTTCTTTCTAATTTCTGAGAGGGACCCAACCAGTGGTGGGATTCAAATAATTTAACAACTGGTTCTCTGCAGGAGGGGAGACAGGGAGGGAGGCATGGGGGTTGTTGCCAAGAGGCAGGTGGGGGAGGGGGGAGCTGCCCCATGCACCCCACAACTGCTTACTGTGCCAAAGGGCCCCCACAGCCAGGCCTACCACGCCCTGACATCTGTCACACCTCGCCTGTAGAATTTGGTAGTGACTTTTCCCATTTTCTCCTTCCTCCTCCTCCTCCTCCTCCTCCTCCTCCTCCTCCTCTTCCTCCTTTGAACAGCCCTTCACTCCCATTGCTGTTTTTTCAATCTCAAATCCTGTGCAGAGGGTTTTTGGAAACAAAGCCATGCAGTGATCAGATGGGATGGGAACCATTCCTTTCGCTTTTGGACCAGCTCTGAAACGGACTGGAAGGAGCAGTCTGAGGACTCCAATCTGGCTTTGCAGCAAGCAAGGGGATTGGAGGCATGTGAATGCACGCTAGTCTGGCGTCTCAAAAAAACCATTTATTTTTTTCCCCTTGCTGGATTCTCGCTGCCATGCTGTTTAACTTTCTTTAACATTTACTTGATGCAGAAGGGCAAATTTTAAAGAAAGTTAAAACAGTATGGCAGCGAAAATTCAGCATGGGGGGAAAAACCCTGGTCTTACATACGGGGAAGTATTTTTGCTGCCAGACTGTTTAATTTTCTTTAAAGTTTACTTGGTGCAGAATTTGGATCCTTCCCCCTTGCAGAAAGGAGGAGGAGGAGGACTATGGAATTTTGATGCTCTTTGAACTTGATTGCTTGCAGACTCTTCATTACTCAAAGCACCCATGATGTTACCTTGTTTGAGTAATGGAACATCTGCAAGAAAACAGCCAAGTTCGGGGAACACCAAAAACTCCTCATAGAAATGGTTTTCTATTTTCTGGCTAGCAATGTTCCTGATGTCCCAGTCCAATTTGAGCCTTCCTAGTGGTCTCCTTTCCAAGACTTATTGAGAATTGATCCTGATTAACTTTTTGAGACCAGTGAAGTTTGCATAGATGCTGGCTAGATGAGAATTTCAAGCAGGCATTAACAAACTAATCTCATTTTTCTCCAAGAGCATCATCACAACATACGTGTGTTTTTCTTATGATACTAATGCTCCCATTGATTCGCAACAAGCTACTATACCTTGTGATCGTGATAATAGGGGTCAAGGTCTTCCAAGGGTTCTCCAATAAGTTCCACAGGAGGGTTTCCATAAAGGGCAGGGACTTTCTGGCAAGCCTGAAGATCAAGCTGAGGCCTCAGTTTCTCTGATGGTGGCAAATCTCTCTTGGCCATGATACATTTCTTGATGGTGGCCAAAGACTCCGGAGTGAACCGGCGGAAGTTTTCTGCACCCAACAATCCTCCAGTAGCCATTTTTGCATCGTTCTTGTTATGGAATGATAAAAAAGATGGGTAGATTAGCCACTCAGCTGCTACATGCTCTTTGACGGGCATAATGAGAAAGCAGAGTGAAAAAGCACGCAAGGAAACCAAACAATATAATAATGATGATGATGATGATGATGATGATGATGATGATGATGATGATAAAGTTGGAAGGGACCTTGGAGGTCATCTAATCCAACCCCCTGCTCAGGCAGGAAACCCTATACCATTTCAGACAAATGGCTGTCCAGTCTCTTCTTAAAAACTTCCAGTGTTGGAGCATTCAACGCTTCTGGAGGCAGGTTGTTCCACTGGTTAATTGTTCTCACTGTCAGGAAGTTTCTCCTTAGTTCCAGGTTGCTTCTCTCCTTGATTAGTTTCCACCCGTTGCTTCTTGTCCTGCCTTCAGGCGCTTTGGAGAATAGCTTGACTCCCTCTTCTTTGTGGCAGCCCCTGAGATACTGGAATACTGCTATTATGTCCCCCCTCGTCCTTCTCTTCATTAAACTAGACATACCTAATTCCAGCAACCATTCCTTATACGTACCCAAAGGGTTTAGAAATGCCAAAACTGTACTACTCTTGAGGCTACAGCAAAATGGCTCAAAATATACAATATAATTGTGTACCTTGGGAAAACAAGAACAGAAAATGATTAGTTTCCATCCGTTTGCTTCTTGTCCTGCCCTCAGCTCCTTTGGAGAATAGCTTGATTCCCTCTTCTTGAGATATTGGAATACTGCTATCATGTCCCCCCCTCGTCCTTCTCTTTGTTAAACTAGACATACCCAATATATATCATAAATATATACTGAAATAGGACTACAGTAAAGGCCCCCAGCCATTTGTGCACCAGGGACTGCTTCCATGGAGAGAGGTTTTTCCACGGACTGGAGAATGCGTGGTTTTGTGTGCTGCCTGCATTCCATGGATGGGGCTTTGCTTGTTTCCGTGGCTCGGTTGCTGGCATGCCACGGCCTGGTGCTGGTCCACAGACTGGGGGTTGGGGACCCCTGGACTATAGTACAGATCGCCTTTGACTTAAAATGACAGTTGAGCCCAAACTTTCCCTTGGTAAGCAAGACAGCTGTTAAGTGAGTCATGCCCCATTTTATGACCTGTCAGGGCCCATTTCAAACTCTCATCCTAAGAAAGTAGAACTCGTGGAAGCAGTTTCTTCCAAAAGGAACTTTTATTAGGAGAAGCTGATAGCCAGCATAATAGACAGGATCTGAGGGTTTCCCACTCAGATCAATAGGTTAAAAGTGTCCCAAGCAAACCACATCCCATAATTCATCCGGTCAGTTCAAATATGCCAATCCCCAGGTGTTAAGTCCATTGTGGGAAAGAGTAGATAGCGCCAGGCTGTCTCAGGGTTGCAGCGATGTTTTGTCAGCTCTTCACGCCTTCCCTTCCAAAACAGAGATAAACCAGTTGCCCGAGGTGCATTCGTTTCTTCTCCCCCCCCTTTCTAGCTGACATCAAGGGGAATGATAGTTCACAAAGGAAGTATGCAGGAACACAAAGTGTGACAGTGTAGCGATTGAGGAAAACAGAGCAATAACCCGCCATGCTTATCCCCTCTCCCCTCCAGGAGCATGGCAGAATCTAGAATATCGAGAGAGTAGGGTTAAAGAATAGAATAGAGCCCCCTTAGAATATGGATTCTGACATGACCTTTTTTCCATGGTTGTTAAGTGAATCTCTATAGTTGCTAAGTGAATCGTGTGGTACTTCAACGAATCTGGCTTGCCCCATTGACTTTGCCTCCCTCAGGAGGTTGCAAGCGACAATTCCAAGGACACACAGAGGCTGCCACCATCATAAACACAAGCCAGCTGCCAAGCTCCGAAGTCTGATCATAGGACTGTGGAGACGCCGTAACAGTCATAAGTTTGAGAACTGGCCATAAGTCACTTTTTAAAATGCAGTTGTAACTTTGAACGGTCCCTAAATGAATGGTTTCTAATTTCTGATTGACTGGGATGGGAAGTCCTGGAGTAAAGATACCAATTTTTGAAATACAGACCGTCCTTGGACTTATGAGCCCAGAATTTCTGTTGCTAAGTGAAACAGTTGATAAGTGAGTTTTTCCCCATTTTATGATCTTTCTTGCTACAGTTGTTAAGTCACTAACATGGTTGCAAAGTGAATCTGGCTTCCCCATTGACTTTGCTTTTCACAAAAGAGGATCACGTGAGCCTGGGACGCTGCGACCGTCATAAATATGAACCAGTTGCCAAGTGCCTGAATTTTGATCATGTGACCATGGGGATGCTATAGCAGTCATACGTGCAAAAAATAGTCATGTCTGTTTTTCAGTGCCTTTGTAACTTCAAAGGGTTACTAAACAAAGGTTATAAGTCGAGGATGATACAAAACAGTGACATGAAAATGTTTGGGAAATATGATCCCATGAGCCTCACACATACTCATTGAATTCTTCCCTTTCAACATGTTATGCAGAGTACAGGAGACAGAAAAAACAAACTAAAGATAATAAATTTATGAAGTAAGAAATATATCTAGCTTACACCAACTTTCTTCACTATACCTCTCGACAACTTTCCATCTTGGGTTCCATCATCATCATCACCATAATAATAATAATAAAAGTAAAGTTGGAAGGGACCTTGGAGGTCATCTAGCCCAACCCCCTGCTCAGGCAGGAAACCCTGTACCATTTCGGACAAATGGCTGTCCAGTCTCTTCTTAAAAACTTCAGAAGCAGTCACCACTTCTGGAGGCAGATTGTTCCACTGGTTAATTGTTCTAACTGTCAGGAAATTTCACTTTATACATTGATTTTTGAGGAATTCTTGGTGGTCTCTAAACTTAGTTGTTTTCTTGCAGACATTCCATTACCCTACTTGGTAGCATCATCAGTACAAGTGAGTATGGGCTTTACTACCTATTTTTGCCCTCATAATGCTATCTAATTCTGTAATGAAACATCTACGAGCAAAAAAAAAAAAAAAAAAAAAACCAAGGTCAGAGAGCACCAAAGATTTCACAGTTCACAGTATCTTTTCTTCTATTGATTTTTAATTCTCTAAATTTCACTTTTTAAGATCTCCTCAGCTTCACCCAATCATGTTTTTCTATCTTTCCATACCAATTTGATTCATTCACTCTTCCTTCAAATATTTGTTTTGTGATTTGGTCCTTATTCATTCCCTCAGCGTGGCCAAACCATACAGTATTTACAGACTAATTCTGAAGGCAGGACAAGAAGCAACGGATGGAAAATAATCAAGGAGAGAAGCAACCTGGAACTAAGGAGGAATTTCCTGACAGTGAGAACAATTAGTCAGAGGAACAGATTGCTTCCATAAGTTGTGGATGCTCCAACACTGGATGTTTTAAAATAGAGATTGGACTGATGTTTGTCCAGAATGGTCTAGGCCAGGGGTAGGCAACCTTGGCTCTTTTATGACTCATGGACTTCAACTCCCAGAATTCCTGAACCAGCCATGCTGAGGGGAAAGGGAGAGGTTTCCAAGCTGAGACATGCTGACTCAGGAATTCTGGGAGTTGAAGTCCACAAGTCATAAAGCGGCCTGGGCCTAGGCCAGAGATAGGCCACCTTGCCTCTTTTATGACTCATGGACTTCAACTCCCAGAATTCCTGAACCAGCCATGCTGAGGGGAAAGGGAGAGGTTTCCAAGCTGAGACACGCTGACTCAGGAATTCTGGGAGTTGAAGTCCATGAGTCATAAAAGAGCCAAGGTGGCCTACCCCTGGTCTAGGCGTAAGGCAGTGATGGCGAACCTTTTAGAGACCGAGTGCCCAAACTGCAACCAAAAACCCACTTATTTATTGCAAAGTGCCAGGGCTGCATCAGCATTGTGGTGCTCTTGGGGAGGGTGGCCCCCTGGGTGGGTGTGGCTGCAGTGGTCACGGCAGATTGGGTGAACGTGGCCAGGGCTAGTCCCTCACCATCTCCAGGGCATCCCTGGGGGGCCAACACCACTTGTTCGCTCACTTCCTGCTCTGTCAATTCCAAACACCATGTGCTGGTTACTCTGGCGAACTCTGTTGGGGCAACGGCATGCGTGCCCGCAGAGAGATTTGCCACCACTGGCCTAGGGTCTCCTGCTTGAGCAATGGGTTGGATTAAGATCTCCAAAGTCAACTTCTTCTCCAAAGCATCTGAAGGCATGAAAAGAAGCAATGGGTGGAAACTAATCAAGGGATTCAACCTAGAACTAAGAAGAAATTTCCTGACAGCAAAAACAATTAATCAATGGAACGACTTACCTCCAGAAGTTATAAGTGAGCACTGAATATTTTCGAGAAGAGATTGGACAGCCATTTGTCTGAAATTGTATAGGGTTTCCTGCCTGAGCAGGGGGTTGGACTAGAAGACCTCCAAACTCCCTTTCAACTCTGATATTCTGTTGTTCTGTTTTACTAATCACTAATAAATTATTTTTTTTACTAGTCACTAATTTTTATTATTATTAAATTTATTTGCCTTTCATCACATGGTTCAACGTGACTCCAAGCTGCTTAATTTAACCTACATTCATCCAGAATTATAAAACACAACTGTAATAATATGTCATCATTTATAAAGATCTTCTAAAAACCATGGGGTGTGGGCAGGGGTTCTATACAGTCCTCTGAAAGTTAAAGTGTTCCAAAATTAAGAAAGTAATCTTGTATGTTTTAATTTTTTCATTCATTTGCACAGAATAACAGCCTTTTTTAATCATCAGCTTAGATGCCGTTTTTACATGCATGTCAAATAAGTCACCACTTCATAAGCAAATTATATCCATATTTTATCATTTCTCAAGGTACACTTGCAGCCTATCAAGGCAGAAGCATTTTCAACATAGTACTGAAAACATTCCAGTCTAAATCAGTCCATTGCACGTACTTCCTTTTTGGTGGGATGCAGGCAATCACACAGACTCACAATTTTAGCTTGTATGGAATAACACATGATATTTAGGGAACATTTGGCAGCCTGTGTGACATATACACAAAATGC